AGACGGCAGGCAGACCTGCCCGCAGGACTGCGGGAAGAAACGCAGTATGGCCAGCCCAGCAGCGTGCCACCGGGTGTGGGACCATGTCCTCCTCCCCAGCGTGGTCTGAAGGGAACACCCAGTCCCTGGCCAAGTAGGTTGCATTTGTGCTGGGAAAGGGTTTCAGGAAATGAGAGTTGGTGAAGCAGCCCATGCTGTGAGCTGCAACAGGCACTAGATCCAGCAGGGACCACGCTCTCGCCTAATAACCCTTCAAAAAGCAGGAAAAGGCCGAACAGCACACACCACCACTGTCCTGCTCAAAACAAACCAGGCAGTCCCTGTGCCAAGCAGGGTAAAGCACGTTCCCCAAGCCTTTAAAAACCCAAGGGTAAGGATTCAGACAAAAACAAAAGCAAAAGCATCACTGCCCTTGGAAAGTGCCTTCTGGAAACGCCCACAGAGCCTGGTCTGCCCCACAAGGGTGGGACACAAAAAGACCCCATCAAAACCTTCCGTCCCTTACCCTGAAATGCCAGAGGTGGCTGTTGTCCCACACAGCAAGCACGCCCAGCTTCTAACCCCAGCTGCCACCTGCTCCCAGTCCCTCCCAGGCACACTTTGGGAAGCCTGGAGCAAAAGGCCACAGCACCCAGAGCTGCCCGGACCTGTGGCTTGTCACAATGTCTCCTTGTAAGCGCACCCCCTTGTCCCAGCACCCCGAGCATCCCTGGCAGCAGCAGTGAGGTGTACAAAGTGAGCACAAGTGCAGCCGGAGCTAGACACCTCAAAACTTCACTCCTCCGATTCCTCCATCTCGCAGGACATCTTGCTGCCTGAGGTGGACAAAGAACCTGGCTGGCTTCATCCTCTCTCACATCCCACCACACCTTGGGGCTGAAACCCCTGGCAAAGCCTCAACCCATAGGCAATGCATATCCTGCAGGGCAAGGGATGCAATCCACAGAGAAATGCCCGTGAGGAGGAATACTCAGAAAGCAGAAGGTGAAGGACAACATATCCACCTACACAGAGCAGCCTGTGGGAGGCTGTCCACCACCAGCACCCCTCATTTTTGTTATAGTTTCTCAGTCCCTATGAGGAGAGGTAATGGGTGGTTCAAGGGCATGGTGAAAATGCACTCCTGCAGCAGCCCTGAAGCCAGACGGTCTGCACCCAGCCTGGGGAGGTGCACGGGGGGGATGGCAGCAGGCTGTGGGGAGCACAGCGTGGCCAGGGCAGGAGAAAGGCAGCAGATAAAGCAGCCCACGCTACCTCACCGTGTGCGGTTTGACAGATGGACGGGAAGGCAGCTGGTTCCCAGTCCAGCCACTACAGTGATGTATCGCTTCACAGACAACGGCTCATCTTCCTGGGTTTATTTTTTTGGCAATTTATTTTTTTTTTTCCCCTCTTATTTTTTCTTTTTCTTTTTTTTTTTTTTTTTAAGAAAGCATTAAAAAAAATCTGCAGCTGTTAAAAAAATCCTTTCCCTTTAGAGGCTGGACGAGGTTTTATTGACAGGTAAATAATCGGTTGTGAGTATGTAAATAGCGGTGACCCCACTGATGCGGTGTCCCTCAGCAGCACTGCCAGCTGCAAGGACATTGTGACTGGCTCAGTTTGGTCATTGTCACAGACCTGGGACACTGGAGTTTCCTTACACCCCGTGTTTCCCTAATTCCTGTTCCTGCCCAACCCTCCTGAGGCGTCGCTTCAGCACAAGCACCTGCCCGTCCCTGTGGCAGACTCCACACTCAGAAGAGGCTCTCCTCTCCAGACTTCCCTAGCTAGGTAAGTGGTTTGTTTTTCAAACTGGACAGTTGAATTCCTTCCAGACTCGCTGATCTCTCGTCCTTTGGCAGCAGGAAGAAAGACTGGCCATCTTTTTTCCCTAGAAATACAGAGGGAGGGGGTCAAACGTACTGTAGCGCACATGATCTTCCAGAAAATCCATTTGAGCTGATCCACGGCTCCCCCAGTCCACTCACACCAATGAGGTCTCAGGTTAATAAGCAGTGGAGTTATTCAGCTATCTGCTCGTAAGTGGTAGGTGTTCTTGGGCAGGTTGCCTGCTCCTGCCAACTCCCCCACAACTTCACGTTGTCAGCACATCTATATTTAAGACTGGGTTTTTTTGCCTTTGTTTAAAGGGGTTTCTTTCCCTTGTAGTAAACTTAAAGAGTTAATAGAAAAAAGTAATTCAAAAGTAATCCAAGCACATCTGTAATTAATTCTGCAGGAGAGGGCAGAGCGACGCGAGTCAGAGTTGGCACGCAATTCCTGGCTCCTGGTGTGCAGTCCCCGGGACGGACAGAGGGTCCCTCGGCCGAGCATGGCTAGAAGTTAGATTTGGAGTGTCCAAATATGCAGATGGGAAAGTGCTTGACATGAGAGGACCACTGTGCTGCCAGCTGAAAGAACTTGACGTCGTTCCACTCCACCCCGTCGATCAGGACTGCAGGGGAGGGGAAAAAGAGAGGAGAGTTAGAAAATACTGAATGAAAGTGGCCAGCTCAAACCAGCTTTGCTAGAAACCTCCCTGCAGTCATAGAATCATAGAATGGTTTGGGTTGGAAGGGACCTTAAAGCTCATCCAGTTCCAACCCCCCTGCCATCAGCAGGGACACCTTCCACTAGACCAGGTTGCTCAAAGCCTCATCCAGCCTGGCCTTGAACACTTCCAGGGAGGAGCAGCCACAGCTTCTCTGGGCAACCTGTTCCAGTGTCTGACCACCCTCACAGTGAAGAACTTCTTCCTAATATCTAATCTAAACCTGCCCTCTTTCAGTTTAAACCCATTTCCCTTTGTTTTGTCATTAACTGCCCTTATGAAAAGTCCTTCCCCAGCTTTCTTGTAGGCCCTTCAGGTATTGGAAGGCCGCTAAGGTCGGCAGAGGGAGGCCTGGTACGCGCTGCTCTGCCTGGCCACCCCACCGCTGTCACTGTAAATAGTGCACACATGGGGGAGAAAGGCTCCAGAGCAGACCAGGTTTATGGAAAACAGCTCAGATTGTTGTTCCAGCATCGCTCACTGACACTGGAGCTCTGCAGACTGCTGATTTCAGTGTCACCCGATCTGATTTCTCAAATTTCCTGAACACATTCCATTTTCTGGGAATGCAAATGCACTCTTGCAGAGATGGACATCAGTTTCTCCTCACTGGCACTCTTAGCCAGGAGATCTGCATCTCCTGAAGAGGTGGCACATGTTCTGTGACCACTTCTCATGCTCACCAGTCTCACATAGGCTGGGCCAGGATTAAGGAGGTGACCTCCACAGATCCCTCTGCTGTTAGCAGTGGTGGGGATTATCAACTGCATAGGATACAGGGATATTTTTGATCCTGGATGCACAGCTCCACTGACAGCCACTTTAGGTTGGTCTGCCTGCAAGATGCACATACAGCTCCTGCTGTGGTGTGTTTTTGTGCCAGAGTCCTGCCTAGAGGAGCAACCACACACTTGCTGCTCTCTGCTGTCACTTCCCAAACATGCAAGGGGAACAGAGAATGACAGGGAGGGGAATGGAGCCCAGTCCAGCCCCTGTCCTTATCCAGGGCACTAGTTCAGAGGAGTTCCTAGGTAAGGGAGGATTTTCCCACATCCCAGACCTATTAAAGGATTCCCCCATGCTGGACACATCCAGGGTTGTTCCCCAGGAACATCCCCATTACACTGGCTCCAGAGCATGGTGCAGGACACCAGGTCAGCCCTTTGCCTGGAGAGCAAGGTTACCAGCTGAGCCTCGATGGGGTGCAAGCACTGCACTTACCCCGCAGCATGTTCTGCTGATGCTTCGCTGTGCAAATCAACCTGCTGATTCCTTCGATACACTGGCTCTTTGACTCAACCTCCTTGTCTTTTGTTTTCTTGGGCAAAAACATCACTGGAAGAAAATCAAACGGGCATACAATGAATCTCTGACACTCACAGGAGCTGCACCAAGACTTGTTTGGGTTTTTACATTTGGGTCTTAAAATTCTAGCCCTAATTTTAACTCCTGGAGTGATCCTTGGTTAGCAGGAGTTTCACTGTGGCAGTGCTTGGCACTGTCACCTGCGCACATGGACATTTTCAGCATTCCCAGCTCAAAACCAGGCTCCAAAGGGCACCTTCCGGGTAACTCCTGCGGCTCTGCTGGGACAGCAGAGAAAGGAGCGGCATCTGTAGCGGTCCCCAGTTGGTGCCCTGTGCTGGGCTGGTGGGATCTGCCGGGCGGCCGCACCACCTAGGGGGAGTCCCACACCACTGCACACGGCCTCCAGCCAGCTCTGTTGGCTGCAGTAACAGCAGCCCAAGGTGAGCTGGGCTGCAGACACCTGGAGAGCAGGAGGGACTGCAAGCTACGGGCAGATGGTGGTGTTACCAGAGCTGAAAAGGTTCCAGTTCCCTGAGAACTGTCCAAATGCACAAGCAAAGAGCCAGTACAAACTGGCTCCATGAAATCTGGTGGTGTTGAACGCTGGCTGTGGGCCCATCCCAGTGAAGACCACTTTGAGTGTCTCAGGATTGCTTCACCCATAGACAGGCCTCTTAAAGTGTGTGGTCAGGGGTGGGAGTGCTGGTATCGGCAGTACCACAGCTATGCTGGCCCAGTGGTGACCTGGTGGCAGGGTTATGTACCCATGTCCTGCAGCCACTGGCTCTACTGGCCTCTCAGAGCCTCCAGAACCCCTGCTTCCACCAGGAGTGCCTCCCAGGCCCATGGGCAGGAAGATTTGTGAAGGACAGCTACTGGCAGTCAAATATAGGTACGGAACTGCCTTGCTACTTCTTTGAAAACGTTCCTCTGCAGAGCTGTTCTCAATTTCCAGTATGTTTCGCATTACTAAGGCCAGGAGCAAATACAGAATTACTGACATTTAAAATGCCTTTTTTAAAGAAAAAGAAACTCAAAGCCATGGCTTTTAAAGCAAAAGATTAAAAGTTAAAAGTTAACATGAGGCTTTTCAATAAGAGCATTTCTATTCAACCTCCTTTTGCCCCAAAAAGCACTCTGTGCAAGAACATAAGAGCTCATGTAGAAGAACTTACATTGCGGCAACCCTCCTCTGAGTAACAACACCTCTTGTATGTACACACGCATCTAGCAACAGCTTGGCAGGTCTGGCTGGTGTGTCTGTGCAGCTGTCACAGTGGTATTTTACCATGAGGACACCACATCAAATCCAGCAAAACATCTCTGCTGGGGCTGCTTCCGTAACGCTGTAACACGATGGGATGCACAGATGTCCTGCCCCTGTCTGCACCTCTGTCATGTGGCAGAGGAGAGACCAGAGCAGAGAGCTGTACAGGCTGCAGGGTCTGCCCCGACTCTGGGTCAGGGGCACAAGCTGCCTTCTACCTAATCCAACACCTCAAACCAGCACCAGCAGGCTCACAAGGAACACAGGGAAGCGGTCCAGAGCAGCGTACCTCCTGGCTTTCTGCACAGCCACCCACAAATGTCCTCCCTCTGTCCTCACCTTTGTTCTTTTGGGCTACACATCTCAGCCATTCAGCTGTGAAGGTGAACACGTCCCTTTTTTACAGCACAGAGAGGAACCACCCTTTCAAACTCTATTACCTTATGCAGTCAGTTCTCATCTACAGACGGCCTAGGATTTTGGGGATAAAAATGTGACTAAGGTGCTGTAATGCAAGACTGACAAGTCAGGCAGCTCTGGAACAGCTGAACAGGGAGAGCAGCACTGCATTCTTGGCCTTTGGCAACAGTAAACGTGTCCACCTTACCTTTCTTGTTCTTCTCTTTTGTCACAACGGTCATGGACATTGTTGGAGTGGTGGCAATCTCACCGCTGGCCGGTAACCTGCTGACCTGGAGGGACCGGAAAGTGCATTTCAGTGTGTTTTTGGTAGTGGAGGGGTCCTTCTTCTCCGGGTCTCTCTTTCTGTCCATGAGTGGTGCTGCAATCCAGTAATCCACTTGCAGGCCCATCAACTCAGCACCAAGGCTCTGGCTGGAAAGCAAGACAAGAAGGTAATCTCTGCAAAGCACTCAGCAGAGTTCCCACCTGTTTTTTCAGAGTGGTTGCTGTTCCTGACCAGATGGCCAGAGGACAAGCACCTGGCTCTCTGGGAAATCAGGCAGCAATTTTTCATAGTGAGACTCGATGATGACAAAAGCTCAAGTCATCTCTCAGCGATGCAGCCTGCATGATGGTGCATGGTGGCATTGGCTTGGCAACACAGAACTGCAACGAGCTGAGACAAGCTAACCTGCTGCACGGCCACAGGTATGAACAGCAGGAAAGGGAGAGACAAGCAGTTTTCTAACGTGACAACGAGTTCAGTGACTCAGCCAGCAAAGGCAGCTCCTGAAGTGGCCCAGATCAGTTCCAGTTGTTGAGTGGGGAAGAGTGGCTGTAAGCACCTTGCTGCTGCCTCCTGAGCACTGATGAGTGAATGACTCTGGCCAGGTGCAGCACTGCCAAAATCATCTCCACACTGGGGCAAACAAAGAGGTGGTGGGTCCCTGAACATCAGGCACTCAGTTCCCAGCCTGAGTTGCTTCCATTTCCTATATACATGAGTAATTCCTGTCACCAGCTGCTTTCCTTCCTGTCCAGATGCCTGACCAGGTCACACAGGACCACTGCTCTCCCTAGGTCTCTCTAAGGGAGTTGGCATGGGGCAACCTGCCCCATGTTCCTGCTGTGGCCTGGGGAATTCCTGGGAAAATGCTCTGCCAGTCCTGTGGTATTTGCTAAACAGTGGCAGATTCCAGGACATGATCTGCTGTTGAAAACTCCTGCGCATCATGTGGTAACAGACATGCATCACCAAAACACGCTGCCAGCCCCCCTTGAGCCAGAAAAGGGAATTTCCCCCAGAAATGGGAAATTCCACCCCTTGCCTGCCCCTGCCTCTCACTAACCAACCCTGAGTGGAGCAGGGGTTTTGTCATTCAGCAGTGCTATGGTTAACAGCCTATGCTTCTTCCTACACAATGACAGTGTTGAATAGTATGCAAGTACCAGACAAAAAACTAAATGTATTTATCAGTCTGTATCCTCTGTTTGAGAAATGCCAATTGTTAAGGAAGATGAATGTGTGATTTTGAAGGAAATATGCAGCCCTCTATACTGTCTGTGTAATAACAAACTCTCATGGTAAAACAAGGACAGCTCATTGTTAAGGTCCTCTCAGCAAATAATTCCCTTTGCCATTTATTCAGTTGAAGCAAGATGCAAAGTAGAGTTTATCTTGGATTGACAAAACCAGGTTTTGGTTTCTCAGGGCAATTTCAGAAGTGAGATTCTTTAAGAATGATGTTTTGGAAATGCAGCTTTGGATTTCAAAGCTCCTTTACATCACATTTCTCATCTCAGTTGTAAAGACAAAGCATCTTAATGTTCGCTATGCCTAGGCAGGATTTTCTGTTTCATCCTCAGTTAAACATGTAGTTTTAATGTCTGGGTCACCCTCCATCCCCTGCCTGCGCTGTCACATACAGATCAGTGGAGATGGAACAGCACTGAACCTAAATTTCCCCATTTCTTAATGATTTTACCACAACAGCATGCAAACAAAAAGTACTGGATTCCCAGAGTTGGAAATCCTGCCTCTGCCCCCTCCTCCTCCAAACTTCAGAGTCCAAGTGCTTCTAGTCTCCCCTCACAAGGCTGCTGCTCTATCCCCTTGATTGTGTTGCCTGTGCTCTCCTGAACCTTTAACTTCACCACGTGCTTCTGGGTACCAGAACTGCACACAAAGCGTCACGCAGCTACACCATCATTTTGTGCGGCAACAAAATGGCCAGGGCAATTTTTTACTGGTGGTTTTCTAGTGGTCTCCTCCCTTCACCCCTAAAAAATTCAGCTAAGTCAGAGCTTCACATTGCTTATAGGTGCCATCCCCTTGCTGTTCTGATATGCTTTCAGGCGCATGCATGAATGGGAAATGTAATCCCACTATGCCACCTTACAACTGTTAGCTCTCCCCTCACAGAGAAAAAGCCTGCTCCTTCTACAGAGTCACTTGGCCCTTAAAAACATAAGAATCATGAAGGATTAGGCTAGCACCCACGTGTGGGTTGGTACTTGGCTACACATCTCCCCAGGAGAATCCAGCCTCAAAGGGAAAATACCAGCAGATGGAGAACACAAACCTTCCCAAACAGGCTGCCACAATGGCTCATCAGAATCAGGGTTTCTGCCAAACTATCAGAAACAAAGCCGCCCCTTCTAGAGCAAACATGTCTGTCCTTGAGAAGTACAGCTTTCCCATTGGGTACAAGATCCCTCTGCCCTCCTCAGCTCCCTGTAGGACAGCAAGGACACAGTCCCTCCAGAGGCAAAAGCAGTGAAGGGGAAAGGTGATGACTTTAAGTGTTTGCTGGAGAGGAAGAAAGCAGAGCTAGGGGTTTTCCTTTAGAAGAGTTTGCCTCTCTCATGTTTATGTTAGATAAGACAGCCAAGGGAGGTGTAAGGAGACAAAACATGCTTTACCTGGAGGATGAGAAGCTGCCTGTAACAGACGGTGAGGAAGGTGGTGTGGGGGAGGCTTCTTTCACAGCAGGAGACACAGAAGGTGGGGTAGAAGAAAGGACACTGGAGCTTGAGGGAGCTGCGTCATCGGAGTCACCTTGCAGAAAAGAAGTCCAACTGTTTGTTTGGGTTTGTCTCACAGCCCAGCACACGCATGCTGGGATAGCTCAGCCTCTTTGCCCATGCTCCTGCTGCACAGGTTTTGTTCAGACTCAATCCAGAGATCAGCCTGCCCAGAAGTTCTGACTGCCTCCACACTTAAACCACAGGACTTTCTATGTTTGGGTAAGAGCCAAGCAGAGACATTCACACTCCTCTGGGGTCCCCACCTGGCATCTGTGCTCCTAGGGTTTGCCCCCAGCTGACTTTGAGCCTCCTGCATGGTCAGAGTCCAGGGGAATCCTCCCCTGCAGGGCAGTACCAGTCTCTGACTCTTGGAGAATCCTGTATCTCTGGGCTGGTCACAGGGATCTCCCCATTCCCCCTGCTTCCAACCCTCTACAACCAAGGCATCATTCCCTTCATGATGGCCCTTCAGGATGGTGGGAGCAGTGTGGCAGCAAGGAGTGGCCCACAGAGGGCTGGCTCTACACACAAACCTGTGTGTAACTCAGGCCAGAGGAATCTGGGTTTAATAAAAACAATCCCAACAGATGAGGAAAAAAGCCATTCCTGCCTGGTAGTGTGTGTGAAGGAGAAGAAAAGTTCACATTGATAAAATGGCACCACCCCATGTCCACGTGTGTAATCAGGCAGTATCATGTAAATCAGCTTTGCATTCCTCCATTAAAAAAATGGGTCTAAATTTGTTGTCAGATTGTCAAACTAGTTGCCTATCCTGGAGTTCCCAGTGTTAGGCACAAGTTTGAGATTGATTTTACCAGGCAGTTGAGCCCAGTGTAGGGTGACAGGCAGGAACTTCCAGTGAACTGCCTTCTCAGTTTGGAACAGGAACCTCAGGTAATCGCAGCGGTCAATCCATCTCATTGAGAACACACATAAGACAAATGGGTGTTTGCCCACATGTATGCGTAGCTTCCCTTGATGAGGGTGTGGGAATTTCAGCTGGCCTGAAGCTCCTTGGAAAGTAACAAGAAAAAGGGCCTCTTGAAAGAGAGAGGCCTCTCTTTCTGAGGACAGCTGCTGGGAGTCAAGGCAGCAGAACTGGGAACTAATAAAATCCAATTCCACCTTACAAAACTCCGAGGTGTCAGTATAGTACAAGCTGGTTCAGCCTGTGAAGTCAGGCTCCCACCACCTGTATGACACAGAAAGCACACACAAGATGTCTGTTACCTGACGTTGCAGAAGATTGTTCCACTATTCCAACCTTCACCACCTGGAGGGGGTAAAACAGAAGAGCTCTATGAAAGAGGAGTCCTCTGATTTCAGGAATCCCCAACCCCCAAACTAAGCTCATCCCTACACCTCCTTGGCACTGTCTCTGCAGTAAGAGTAGTGTAAAAGTATGTTAAAAAGTAGAGTCTTCCAAGAGCTGTGCAGGTCCCAGCAGTGTCCAGCCAAACCATACCAGCCCACAACCCTTCCCTGACCTATACAAAAGACAGCGCAGATCCTATGGAGCTGTTACAGACCTGCACAGCCCTCAATAGCCCAACATCAGCCCCAGGCTATGACAACTACACTGCCTGTGACACCTGTGGGAACAGGGTAGGGAGAAGACAGGAACATAAATATCCCTTTAGCACTGCTTTGATGCACCTGCCAATTACAGACATCATATATTCCACCACACAACTGCAGCCACTTCTAGGGTGCAGCATAGTTGGGGTTTGTTAGGAAACCACAAAAGCAACGAAGTACAGTTTCTCATCAGAGTTTTCTAGTCTCCAAACAAGAGGGGTGTCTGGCAAAGAAGATAAATCTCCTGGCAAAGCCTGTGGGCACAGCCATGAATAAACCATCACATGGACAGGTCAGAATGATCCCAGTCACAATGTAATAGGGATACCAATGTGTTCTGATATAGGCAGCCACCAGCTAGTATGTTTAGGTTAATGTTAAACGCCACTGACAATCATTTGTGGAACAGAGCATGCTACAAACACAAGCTCCCAAGAACACACTATGCCTAGGAAGACAAAATGACCCTTGACAATATGAAAGCAGACACCTTCTGTAGCGATAGTCTGCTAGGGTGCACAGGGTTCATTACTCTTAACACTGCAAAGACCCTTCTTAAGGTCCTTAAAAAACATGTATCCAAGGCTAATGTCTACCCTAAATGCTGACAAATGGGAAATAGCTGCAAAGCAATCTCAAGTCAATAAAACCTGCTTTAGACTAAGAAATGATGTCTATTTGACTTGAAAACAGAAGATGGTGAAGTTCAGACATTACCATGTCTAGACAACATCTCTAGGGAGCATATTTCTGTGCTAGGGGATCAAGAAAAAGGACCTAATAATTAGAAGCAAAAACTTTGCACCGTTTGGGGAGGGGGCAGTGGTGGTGTATGTGAACACTAGATCTTGGAAATCTGTCACGCTCTCTGGTGGCTTCTCTGTTAGCTCCCATCTTGGAAAAGCCACCATGAACTCAGCAGCATGTGCAGAAGCTCCCTAAGGGGCCACTAGCTTGGGATGAGGCTGCAGCTCAGTTTGGTCAGCCTCCATCCAAAGGGCAACATATCAGGCTCTGAAGCCTGGCAGCCATTTGTGCTGTGTGTATTAAACACCACGAGGATGTTTCACAGACTGTAACTAGCTGTGAGCAGGAAAAGGCAGGAGAGTTAGGGGAAGAACAAACAACACAGAAAACTGCCTACAGTCACCTTGATCTGCAAGCCAGATCTGGCCTTTTCCCCCTTGCTGGCTGACTGAAGATGTTTGAGTTCAGATGTATGGAAGGAAGACAAGGTTAAACACTTCCCTCTACTCAGGGAGGCACTTGAGACGGCTGCAGTCCCAACAATGCCTCCATGCAGGAACATCCAGGAATCCTCCTCCACAGCAGCCAGCCTGCTTTCCTTTCAGGAAGGAGGCACATCCTGTTAACTCTCCTGACAACAGGCTGTTGGCACAGCAGTGTGACCATACAGCCTCACCACCTGACCCCGGCTTTCAAGTCCGACTGGCTCTTCGTGAGGCTCCGCTCCCATCACTTCAGAGCCTGGCTGAGCAGCACAGCACTGCCCTGCTCACTTCTGGGTCAAAGACTGTGCACAACTCAACTGCAGGACATCAATGTTTGCACCACAAAAGCCAACAGAGTCCAGCCAATGTCATGATTCACAAACCCAAATGTCACTGGCTCCCTCTCTTCCTTGGCCAACAGCTCCAGGGAGGCTGCAGCTGAGGGGAAGAGCTTTGGTGTTCATGTTCAGCCTCAGACTTTGTGAGACACCTGAAACTGGCCTTTCAGAGTCTCTTCAGATGCGTCTCATGGGGAATTACTGTGTCAGGAACACTTCAGAAGCAAGAATAAACAGCACTGATTTGATCCACACCACTAGCCAACATAGGAAGCCAGTCTCTAATTTCAAGGCAAGTTTTTTTGGAGGTTGGTGGTGTTACGCACACAACAGAACTGTTCACTCTTCCCACTTTCAGACAATCAAATCCAGACTGGAAAAGCATTGATAAAGTCAGGACAGTGATCGTTTTAGACCAACTGGACAAACGCTCTGAGCCCCATTTACTTGCACATAGCACTGAACTAAATCAGCCCCGAAGAAAAGCTTTGCAGAGCCAGCCTAGCAGCCACAGTCCAGGCGCTTCCCAGCCCTTCTGGGCTTTTCCTGTTATTGGGAAAGGTGAAACAGCTGTTTCGTAACAACAGTTCTTCACCAGCAACTGCAGTTGACAAGATCACAGCAAAGCTCATCAGCAGGCAACAAATCAGGAAGGTGTCTCTCTACTTTAGCAAGACATCTTCCTTCAACAAACAAAAGTAGATTGTCGTCACAGGAGCACTGCAGAGACACTCTCACTCTGAAGAGACACCAGAGAGAAAGCAGGGTCAGCCTGAGGGCAAGGGAGACTAAGGTCTTTAAACACCTTGGGATTTCAGATTAGCTCTGATGCACTGACAGGAAAAAAAATGCACACAAGTCAGCTTAACACAGAGAAGGCAGAACAAGACAGTCAGCACGCGAGAAAGAAGCTACAAGAGAGCAGAAAACAACTGTGAAGAGGACATCCAGTAGCTAAACAAGAGTTAGGGGATATCCTTTTGGCCACAGGTCAATGACTTTACACCTAAAACTTAATTGAAGAGCATGATCAAATACAGGGAGGGAGGAGAGAAAAGGTAAAGTACACAGTGCACAAAAGACATTGACAGAAGCACACACACACTCCTGTCTATACTCTGCACTCGGCCATATGAGCTGGGAACATTTAAAGATAAAGACAGGAGGAAAAGCCAGGGACTACTATTCCAAAATACATATACACATAATAAAATGTATTAAATAGTTACTGCCTCAGACTCAAACCTAACAGTGGGATAAACCATCTCCCTGGTGGGATGTACTCTCCACTTCCCAGAAGTGGATGGGATATTATGAGGACTGGAAACCGCTCACGACAAGCACACAGAGGACTGACACTGGAATAGCAAATTTGGCCAAATCAATCACCCAGGGTAATTAATGCTGGGCACAGGATCCCTGAGATCAGGTTTCCAGAACACGCCACCTTCCTCTGCATGTGGCCCAGCAGCAATTCTCCATCAACTAGGTGCTTTGTTCTGCAGCAAAGACAGCCTGTGGATCAGAGTGCTTCAGCACCACACTCTCCTCTCTGTATCACAGGAACAAGGCAACAGCAAGGCTACAGTGCCTGCATCAGTGCTGGCAGTCACACAGCAAGAGCTGCTCAGAGCCAGCTGCTTGGGAAGTAAAATACACCTAGTAGTTTCTTGAGGGATCTTTGAGGTTTGCTTACATACCAGGCAGTTGTATCTAACCATCAGATGTTCATGCTGACACTCTATGTTAGAGCATCCAATGCTCCTGCTCTACTCCAGCAACCAGGTAAGTTTGGGTTAACACTTGTGGATATATTCTAGCTGGTTTGAGACTGTAACTAAGATAACACTCACCCCGACAAAGGGAATGAACTTCTGTGAAGATTCTTCATCAGGGCTAAAGGCAAAAAGAAAAAAGTTGTTAAGAGCTTGCTTCCAGGCCGGGCACAATACTCACTTCATACGTTGCATTCAAGCATGCAGCAGGGACGGACAGTATGCAAGCGCCAGTCCAATGTCTCCTCTCAAGGCCCGCTGCCAGCACGCTAAGGATCTGCATGTGCGGGGAAGAGCACGCAGCTTATGGCACATCTCTCAGGGGAAGGGTCTCTTCCTCCCTCCCTCACGCTTGACAGAGAAACATGCTTTAATGGCATGGCAGTCATCACAGACACACGACCTCCTACTGCGAGGAAATGGATCTGTGCCACAACACCACGGAGAACTGTGTGTTACTTACTAGTCCCCGAAGCGCTCTGCACGCACGGCCTTCACGCGTCCCACCTTTGGAGCCATGTGCCATACCTTGTATATCCCAGCATCGCTAAAGCAGTTAGCCTGCCACGGGGTTACAAGCCGTGACACGTGGTTATTGGTACAGCACTAGCAAGTACACACACACACACACACACAAGGCACAGACACGTGCTCCCTGCCAGGGGAGCTTGGGTCCCTCACACAGCCACACCAGAGAGGTTGGGCACCAGAGTGCACCGGGGAGATCGGGACACCAACTCGAGACTGGCAAACAGCTAAACCAAACCAAACGTAGACCATGTCCCAGAAACAGCTGAAGACAACACTACACGTGTTTTCAAAGCAGGAAGGCATCAGGCCCTCCTGCTCCAGTCCTGCCCAGGATTCAAAAGTCAAATGGTGGAGAAGGGCCAGTGGCCAAGGCCACAGTCAAACCTAGCAGGAGTTAGGGAGAGACTCAACAAAGACAAGAGGGGGAAGACCTGAGTGAGGAGGAAGGCAGGCTGGGAGGGCCTGCAGAGCCACTGCTCTCTTCAAGGGTGACAGAGATGAAGATGGACCCACATGGTGAGGAGAGGACTGCAGGAGCATGTCCATATGTTCAGAGGAAATAAAGTTCAGCAGTGGAAGTGACTGCACAGGTAAGACACACAACGTTTCTCAGTGGCCATGCACAGGAAACAGGTAGGAAGCAAACAAACACCAAGATTTCTTATGTTTCTCTTTTTGTGCCTCACTCAGTGCTCGGAGCACTGCAATGTTCAGAAAAAAAATCCAGCATTGTCTCCATCCAGAATATTGCTAAATACAGCACAAATACTTCAGGAAAGCAGGTATTTCCAGCACAGATCAGAAACACACCAAACACACAAAGGCTGCCAACCATTGTGTGATCAGCACGGGCTGGACAGTTTCCTCTAAGCCCCATGGACAGAATGGCTTAGAACTGCAGTGAACATGACTCAGCCAGAGCTCCCGCTTGGTCCAGAGTGGGCTTTTACAAATAGCCTCTTACCTTGGCTCAGCTTTGCTTACTCAGTTCTAAGGCAAAGCCAAGTGTTTTGTTCCCTTCCTACCTCACAACCCCAGGCACTGCACCTTTGTTCTTCCCCCAAAGCACAAAAACAAAAAAAGACAAAAAGAAAAACCAAACTGAGTCCCTGATTTTGTGTTGGAAGCCAGAAAGGTCACATATTTTCAACCATGGCTGCAGGCTCCACAGCAATTAAGTCTCCTATGAATGTGACATTTCCAGCTCCAGTTTTGCAAAGAGAAAGAAGAAACCCACAGAGTTGTTGGGAGAAGCGCAGGACTGCAACTCAACTTTCTTCTTACTTCTTCAGCTCCGTGGGCTGAGAAGCAGGCAGAAGCAAATCCTGCTGACCAAGTGAGAGAAGCACAATAGTTGCCCAGTCATCTCGCAGTTACTGGATGGCTTTGCTCCGAGCTCTCAAGAAAACAAACCGTGCCAAATTCCAGCAGAAAACTCATCCTTGTTCCCCCTGGGAGCTCCTTACCACTGAGGAAAGCTCAGGGGCAATTCTGAAATAAATAGTTTGCTTCAGTCACCATTTATCATAGGTCACAGACTGTTCCTGAAGCAATCCAGATGGATTTCAGCTCTGCTAGGCTAGTCCTGTCACATATCCTCTTTGGAACTCTGATCTTGCACATGTGCCTCTGAAAATGCAGCTTATCAAAGCAGCTGCTCTCCACGTGGATGAAAGAAAAGATGAGGTGACTGTGCTTGTTCTCTGCTTCCTCTTTCATGCTCTTGCCTGATTCTTGTACTTCAGGATCCCAAAATACTAATCCAGAATCCTTTGACCTTGGTAACTCTCCGGACTCTGCCTAGCCACTGCCCTGCAGAGAGTCAGAGACATGCAGCAGGGAGAAAACAGTGTTACCCCGGCTTCCTATTGCCCAGGAACCCACACTGGCTCACCCTCCAACCCAAGGCACTTGTGCACCAGGGAGCAAGAGCTGGGGAAGTGCTCTACAACACCCGAGTGAAGACCCCTTGGTAAATGTGTAACTAGGCAGGAAATGACCCAGCCCTCGCCCTCATAAGCGAGCAATGCTTTGATTTCTAAGAGCCAAGCTGCTCCCCAGGTTCATGCAAGGGCTGTGCAGAAGCCACATGGCATGAGCTATATTTCAGGTTCACAAAACTGATCAGTAATTCGGCTACACTGGAATGAGGGTCTGCTGAGTCTCAGATCTCAAACACCGCAGGCTTTCATTCAAGAAAGTAATGCAGAGAGATATCAATGTCAATGATACACCCCTCCTAGTGAGAGGGCCCACCTCTGCTGGCACGGTCTCAGCTCCCAGATGTTGCCTGGACTGCAGCGTTTCTTGACAATTCAATAACCAGTAATTCACCCAGTGCCCAGAGACAAAGACATTCACCCAGCATAACAAAGAGGAGTTGAAATGGCAATTCATTCCCTTCCTGAACCCCTTCCTCATGGCCAGCCCCCTTGATTTCAGGTAAGGTCAGCAGATGCTCCAAAAGAATGGGACAAAGCTTTTGCACCGTTGCAGTCCGTCACAGGCAGTACATGCGCCAACCTTTAGCCATGACAAACAGAATAATGGGACAGAAGGTGAGCAGAGGTAAGTCAAAATAGGGATAGCTGGCAATAAAGTCATAAAGCAGCTCATCACATACAGCTACATCTTAAAGACTGGCTTGGCTTTCCTTGGACCACTTGGCTTGTTTAACAGAGCACATGCTAGGATACTGGGAGATTTGTCTTGCCATGAATTTGTCGGTAGTGCTGCTGTTTCTACACAGACACTGCTTTGAAAGCTGGCCTTGGAGAAGCCACTTGCCTCTGGCTTCAAGGGAGAGGGAGTTGCAGTAACTTTGTGAACTGAGGACAAAATAATGTCCAACAACTATACAGCTTGAAGCAGGGGACCCTGCAGAGCACAGGGGTCTTGGAGGGAGCTCTGAGAGCACAACTCACTTGCTAGCATGCATCTGTCTTCTCTTCCTTAGGCTCAGAGAAGTCCCATATGTTTGGGACAGGTTGCCAGTAAGAGACTAGTCCTCAGGTTTTTTGAGGGAGATGATCTGCTGGTCTACACTCAGACACTCCATGGCTGAACCCCACCCTGAGCCACTGAGTGCTGCCTACAGCACTCCAGTTCCAACGGATAGGAACAGCCTTTGCTCAGTCCTGATGCTTTTGGAGCTACACTATATTCTCTGATGGCTATGAAGAAGAGAAGAAAAAACTCTATCTTCTCAGTGTTTTACTGCTCAAAGGGACTCTCTCAATAACCCCTTCATTCCCATTCAGTCTACATCCTGGGAACCTGTATGTGTGGTCCAAAGGCAGAGCAGTCATTTTTAACAATGCATTCTGCCAACAGGTGCCATAGTTTCAAAGCAGCGAGCAGAATTTAACCCTAAAGCACAAACTGCGTATCCCAGACCTGCAGGAACTGTTAAACAAGACACAAAAGACCAGTTTATGTGGGGAAAAAAATATAGGAGACGTCAAAGGAACCTAAAAGGAACTGATACCTTATGGTAAAATCAAAATGAAAACTCTTTTTCCTTTTCAGAAAGCATCCAAAGAAAAAAATAAATATGTTATTATACTTACAACAAAGTGATGTGCTCATTTAGATAGTGCTAGCAGAAACACAATTTCTGTGTTGTCTTTCACCACACCCTCCCTAAATTCCTGACAATGACAGAGAGCTGCATTTCTAAAGAAAGCCACATCACTCCATGGGAGAGCTTGTTCCTCTAACCCACTCTCCAGTTTGCTCAAGGGGTACCTAACTGAAAGTAGAAGTTACTTTAAAGTGGACACAACAAAGACATTAAGAGACTACAGGCTATGCCACAAGTCTGACTAAAAGTCTCAGTGATCTCTCTTCCAAGTAATCTCCTGTACAGTTTGAGCCTGATTTAAACCTCCCAACAGCTTCAGGCATGGCTGATGCCATGAGACCACATCCAAAGGGTCTAAAACCCAAAATGGATCAGATCAGCTCGGTAAAGAGGCCACATGCACTGCTGGTAGGGTTAAATGCATGTATTACTGAAGTACATGTCAGATGTTTTTCAACAAACTGACTTTATTGGGCACATTAGAAACTCAAGTGTTAATGACAAAAATGAACTTGTAACAGAAGGGGGAAAGCAGTGGAGATCAGTGCAGAACCCAGCAACTGAAGGGTGCAGAGAAAGAACAAGGCAGCCATCCGGAGTTCACACTGCACTAGGGGTGTCTGATCTCTGTATTTGTAACTAATGTTACATCTTCACACCAAAAATAAAATAAACCATTGAAGCCAAGAGCTTCCAGTACTCTGTGGCTCTCCAAATGTCACCTTTATCAGGTTAACATTACAGAAGTTCACAATTATATGAAGAGAGGGCACCTTTTTAACGGACTAGTCAGTCTGGAAATATTTTCCCTAAGAGAGCATGAAGAATAGATTAAATTTTACTGCACCATTTCTGCAAAGTAATGTAGAGCAGACACAGGAATAGAAAAGCAATGCACAATGAGCATTTACAAATAAGAAGGGAAAAAACCCACACCTTTAATCCCTCCCAGTTCTTATGCAAAGGAGGTACCAATGAGGGATGTAACGGACCAACAACAACAGATCACATATAATATGGGAAGGGTAGTAATTAATGATTAACATAATCCATGCTTCACAGGAGATTGCTAGTCGAGAAAAAATCATGAGGCAAGTGTCTGTCCTGCTCTGAGAAATTACTGGGATGTGCAGGAGTTGTAGTGTCATTATTCTCCTCTGTGCCTCAGAAACAATGCATCTCTACCCTTCAGTGACAGACCCTCTTCTTCCTGGACCACAGCCACATGAGGTTCTGCATACTTCTGAATCATGTTTTCAGACCTCAATCCTCCCTCCTACAAGCTGCTTCTCCCTTAAGAGAAGTTTCAATAAAACCTGGTGGATGACAGCCCTCCCCAGCAGGAGTTCTGGTAGCCTGCAACTCCCAATCAACAACCTCTGCTATTTAAACTCCAAAACCAAAGGGTTTCAGTTCCCTTAACTCTGGTGCAAAAAGGCCAGGTCTCAAGGAAGATACTTCAGTGGGGGGAACACCAGAGTCCAGACTTACATACCTAAGGTCTCTGTGGCAGGGGAGAGGTCTCCATGGTAAGAGATCTCTGGAATCTAAGCAGTTATAATCTGTCCAACCCCAGTTCTACCCAGTCTCCACTTCCCCAGACCTCTCAGATCTTCAGAGAAATCACTGCACTTAAAGGAACCACACTGTTGTGGATTCGCTGTTATCTAAGTGGGACACATCACTGGACAGAGGGTACAGTAAAGTTCCCAAGATATTTGCAGTTTCCAGTGATTTTAAGACTGCTGGCACACAAGATGAAAAAAGCACTTCACTTTCAACCTGATGCTCACTCTGGAAAGTCAGTTATTAGGTTAGGGACATACCTCTTCTGCTTGTACGTCAGCATCGCTTCAGCAATGGGCAACTGGTGTGCACAGTTTGCCCCTGCTATATACTGCGTTATCCGGGAGACAACATCAGGAGCTTCTGGAACTGCAATAGAACAAAGACAGAAAATAAACTAAGTGACTTCTCAGACCATCACCAGCACTGTCTTCCATTCGCTCAGCCATGCAGCTGACGGTACCCAGCCAGCTGCATTTGAACTGCATCTTCCAAAGGAAGCTCTGCAGCCTAGGAGCACTGTAAAGCTGTCAACCCAAAACCAAACATCCTACAAGAGCACCAAGGTAAAAGAATTAGGAATGTGCACGAGATACACAGACATCTGTACACAGCATTGTTGACTGAAGTATGACTTATATTTGTTCAAATGCTTTTCTTTGAAAATGTGTACCTGCTCAGAGTCAGCTTTAGATTCTTGACTGTGGTATCTGAAGAAAGTGCCTTAGCCATCTCTCCCAGTGCCCTGGCAAGTTGCTCTGCTCTCACCAGCATTTGAGTTACCTGATTCCGTAACAAACTCATGGCCTTGCTGAGTGAAAAGACCGAGAGCCACGCAAGGGTAGGAAGAGCAAAGACCACATGTACAGCAGCAAGTATGCTTCAAGTTTGTGAGACTGATTCAAGTGGACAGGAAGACATTTCCTAAATGCCTGCCATATTTCTTTGGTTTCAAGCAGTGAGCCTCAACTGTGAGATCAAGGGGATGCAAGGTACCTTCACCAGGCATTTTTAATACCTTAATGGGCACTTTAACCCAGTGTTTCTTACAACAGTTACTTGAACAGTGACTGTGAAGAGCTATAATTCTTTGCCAGAGCTGCTTATGCCAACATGGGGTTTCTGTGCAGTTCTCACTGCACAGATGAAAATGGAGAATCTACAAGGCCTAGACTGCACAAAAATGAGGCTGCATTTTCCTCATAGCATGCAGGCAAATAAATAAGGGGTGCAACATAAAACCTACTAAAGAACAGATATGGCTCTCAAGCTGGATTTCTACAGTTTATGAAGTACTCCTCACCCAGACACAAAAATCAAATCTGCGTTGACATCTCTCTGCATTTTCAAGCGCAACAAGGAATTAAAACCATCTGGTTCCAGACATCTGTTCTTCCACAAGCTTAGAGCAAGGAAAAGCATAGGTTGGGTGGCACACTAGGAGATCTCTCCTGCTCCAAGCAAGGCTAACTTCACCTCCAGAACAGGCTGCCCAGGGCCTCCTCCAGCCAAGTTCCCATCTGCTGGAAAAGGTTCCCAACAATCCCCTGCAAAGAGGTCTCTCTTTCCTCCTCACAGCTAGAGGACTTCCAGGAGCATCCTGGGAGCCTCAGGCACTCTCTGAAGTTCCAACAGGAGAACCAAACTGCACCTCCCCACCCTCATGGTGCTTTGAAAACCCAAGGTTTCCTGCTAGTGAAATTTCTGTATGGGATACACTGCCACGACATGTCTCAAGCCTTCACGTAGCCCTAAATGTCAGATGCAAATCCTACTTTGTCCTGTTTCTTTCCATTCTTGAAGGAACGGACGGAAAAAATGTAAGCATTACTATTTTAAGCAAATCAGTACTTTAACACACAGTAAGGCTTTATCCTGGCCTAGAACAGACTCAGATTAGAGCAGGAACTTGTTGATCTGACCTAGGGCAGCTCCCACATGCTACAACACTGGTGAAGAACAAAATTCTTCTTGAATGAAAAAGATCCTGCCAGCAGATCTCAGAAATATCAAGGTCATTCTCACACACAACTAATAGAAGTTAATCTTCCCAGAGTTTCCAGTTTTCAAAATGTTTTAGGCTGGACAGTTTTTGAAGGGCCAAAGAAAGCAATGTACTAAACCTGGTAATGACACCTCCACATCAAAGAACAAAGCAGAGAGCAAGGCAAAATGAGAGTGACTCAGAGGCAGCTAGTGCCTCTGGGAGCCAACAACTGTTTGCAAACCACCACACGGAGGACATACAAAGGTCAGCATCTGAAAAGGGAATGTGGTGGAGCGAGGAGAAAAGAGGAACAAAAACATTTGTCTGCTTCCTCTTGTATTTACTTGACCTTTGCTAAAATTACTCATTCAAGCCTCTTATCCCACACAGGCCAGACACAGACACATGGTCTTACCAGTGGTCTGTGCTTCAAGTTTGTTGAACAGATCTCTCCAGGCTAGATCTTGGAAGAAGTTGTTGTATCTATAATCTACAGACCCCAGATACTTGGCCACTGGATGAGAGCCTAAGAAAGAAAGGAAAACATAACAGTTGTTCTTCCCAGCACTGAACACAGGTGTGTTTACCTGTAAGGAATTAAATTCCAAAATCAAAACTACACTAGACACCCCAGCAATGAATTTCTTCAAATATAACCAAGTAAATTAGTCAGCTTATCTCTACAAGAACATGCAAATAAAATTCCCAGCAGAGACTGCTTCAACACCACTGATATCTTTCAGTGAAATCACCCCTTTCCCCCCCGCCAAATTACATTTTAAAAGGCCAAAGAAAACAGGACTGGGAAACTGCTGAGGAAATAAATGATCTGGAAGACACAAAGGCCCTACAGCTCTCCATCTCACTCTCTCAGTTTTGCAAGTGGCTTTCCCAGCAGCTCTTCCTGCCCACAGGCTGCGCCGCAGCCAGGTCACCTCTGCCAAGAGGAGTCAGACCTCTTCCTCCAAACACCATGTGTACACCAGGGCTGTTTTGCAATACCGAGAAGAGGCAATTGTGCCTAACCAGGAAAAACAACCCAGGGAGGCTCGTTTAATTGGCAGAGAAGGTCTGTAAGTTCAATAAATAGGCTGTAAAGACAGAGGCGGAGTCCAAGGATTACAGTCCCCAGTGAATGCTGGCGTATGCATCAGGTCCCTGCTTGCCCTTATGGCTTCTCTATGAGTATGGGAAGACCTGCTTGCGGAAAGCTTGTGTGTCCAGCCTCCAGCTTGCAGTCCTGGATGGATATATGACTTCATACTTAATACTGAGCAGAAGAGGGAGGGCATTTTCTGCTCTGGGAGGTGGTAAAAATTTGACACCTTCATTTTAGGCCACATGTGTCCCCAAAAGACAACTCTCTTGCAACTACTTCTCCAGTCTTCCAACATAGGAGAAAAGGTGGGCAAGAACTGCACTTTCCAGTCACCGCATTTCAGTCATTACAATCAGCCATGAAGTGTCCTCAAAGTTCCTCCTAATCAGCTTATTTTTATCCTTGCTGCATACTGAATTCTCACATCAAGCCACGCTTCCAGAAACTGCAACAGCTGAGTCATCAGCTGGTAACTGGTAACCTGACAACTCCTTCCAAGGAGACCCCAGTTGCTTAACTAGACTCACCATCCTCCAGGAAAGGTCATGGTGGAAAAATCCCACTGTCTTTTCTCAGTCCTCCAAACCACTGCTAATTTCCAGACTTCCAGGAAAGGTTCAAGCAGAAGGTCTCCCTGACCTCCCCTCAGTGTCATTAGAGTCTGGGGCCTAAGTTCGTTCCTGGATCATCCAGATCATGGCTACTTTCAGGCCCATCATTTCTCTTGCATTGGAGTTTTAAACAGTGCACGTGGATCAGCTCTGCACCATGCACTGGAGAAGCAACAGCTTTCCCAACGTGCTGGGAAAACACATTGCACATGGCAGATGCAGTGGAAACAAATACTAAACATGAGGTCTTCCAAGAAGCTCTATCCATAGGAGCTAAATGAAATACTAAAACACCCCAAAGAGCCAAAATACCCCCCCCACACACACACACACACCATTTTTTTCTATTTTGTTTGCCTCTTTTCATTTGTTTACACAGTTTTGGACACCAAAGGAGTCTTTCAGCCATAGTATCAGAAGCATGAAGCAGGACTGTATCTCCCAGTACAGATGCTTACAGACACTAAGCACTTCTCATCGTTAACAAACCACCACAGGTTGACTCTTCTGTCGCGTTGCAGCCTGTAGTTGTGGACTAAGAAGGTAAAACCATCTTAGAAAAGACTCTACCACTCCTACTTCGATGATGCTGCTAACAGCAGAAAGTCTTTTTCTTTAAGACGTTTATGGCACAGTTACAGTTCTGTCTTTGGTGCTTTTTCAATTGTCAGAAAAGAGAGGTTGCTCCTCAATCACTTTAATGAACTGCCAGAAAGCTGGCCAGAAATAAGCACTTGATCCGATCAGGAAATACTGCAGACTTCTATGGGAAAGGGTCTGTTAGAGAAGTTTCTATATTTAAAATACATTTTTAAGGCATTCACAGTTCTGAAGCAGTTCCGTTATCAAAGTGCTTTGTTCTTTCTTTTTTTTTTTTCCTTTTAATTACCAAATAAAGTTTTAATATTAAAAAAACAACCCAAAAACACACTAGCTAAATCTTGTGTTTCACTTTCAGAGAGAAATTATTTTCATATGATTAAAGACTGCAGGACAGAAAACTCTTCTTCTGAGGCCAGCAGACAGTCAGCATGCGAGGACCAAAGTCCTCAGTCACAGAGACTCTCATTCAAAGCACATTTAACCCTGCAGAAATATTTTTTGTGTGTTTCTACCCCCTAAAGGGCTCTCTCCTCTTCCTGCCAACCACTTTGGAAACTAAATGCCTTCCTTACAGAATGATCCAGCTCTCTTCTGCCTTCTTCATTTAACTTCTGCAAATCCCACCACTGAATTGACAGCCTAACCCCACTGTTCATGGCCAGCAGCTTCTGACTCCTACAGCAAATGCCATCAGCTGGTTCCAAACCTAAAAGACCAGGAAACATTGAGAAAAAGTGCTTTTCAAGTTTTCTGTTGCCTACATCATTTAAGTGCCTGTTCACATAAGCCAAGCCTCAGACTAGACCAGCTGCTGTTATCACACCCTTACAACACCAACATTGCCCAGATGCCCCTGCCCACAAGCATCAGTGACCACTTGGCTTCCCAGGCCTCTCCCCTACACCATTCCTTGTATTTCTCACTACAACAGACCCCTAATGGCATTATCAGCCCACTCCACTTGCATAGACACAAGGGATCCAAGCTGGGTTACCTTCCAGTCAGGCAGGCTTGTTGAGCTGTTGGAAGGGCAGAGAAAAGGTGCAGGAAAACTGAGAGAAAAACCCAAGGAGAACAGCACATAAAGGAAAAGTCAAAAGACACGTGTAATTTGAATAATTTAAACTCTCAGCAGTTTCAGAGCCTTTAAAAAATTAAGCCTCCTCCTTAAAAATTTTCTGTGTCAGCCTCAGAGAGGCCAGAAGAGTTATCGCTTTGGGAAACACAGTGCCCAGTGAATTGAAGCTTTCAGCCAGGGAAAAAGCTTCCAGAACATTATACAACATGGTATGCATTCACCATACCATGATAAAAAGATATCCAAGAGCCTCCCTGTATGGGGAGAAAGTACTCAACCCCTTGCTTCAGATGAAAGGTTTACAAGCAGGCTCTGGCATCAAGAACATAAAGATCAAATTCACTCACGCAAGAGCAGCAACACAAGCATTACACAGTACCATGACAGCACGACATTTGCCTCATTTAACAGCCATACACCTAGACAAAGCTCCCAGGAGGGCTTCTCCTGAGGGCACACATCACATTTAACCCGTTCATCTTTCCATGAAGAAAAATCATTCCTTATTTACCTAGAGGGATGATCAAAAATCTCATGTAGCCGAGCCAGTCTGGGGTTTTGTGAGACAGCTGCTCTACAAAGAGCCTCAATACAGCACTGAGGTAATTCTGGGCTCCGGCCACTGCAATTTTAATTGGGTTTGGAGGTTGTGAATTGCAGTTACAGCTAGACAGAAAAAGAGGGAACATATTCATAATCATGCTTCCAACCAGCTATTTCAGAACAAGTGGAAAAAAAAAATAAAATAAAAAGAATTGGTTAATAACAACCAGGGCAGAAGAGAGCTCATTCAATACACAAGGCAGTATCACAGTGATTACCAGCTGCTTAAAACATTATTAATGAAATGCAACACTGTTCAGTACTTTCTTAATTGGTCTTCTTGCTTCTTCTTTCGCACATTTTGAGAATCTAAAGGTCTGGACTCAGCTATCTAGGTTAGGATCTATCTACTGCAATTAACTGCTGTGTCAGAGAACACAGTCAGGTACCCACAGCCATCTGTAGGTACCTAGGGATGTCTTGAGGAATTACTAGGGGGCAGGGAGAAAGAACTATTTAAAAACCTATCTATTAGCTTTGCATGCTTTACTGGTTATTAGATCTGACCTATGAGGCAGCCTCCAAAGCACAGTCTTTTAAAATCAGCAATGTCAACGAAAAGAGACTTGTATCCCCACACATGGCAGAAGAGCAACAACTTTTCAGGGCTGGCGAGTGCTGAAGAGCCACACAATTCTGATTTCAGGAAAGCAGACTGGGGAGAAGTATTGGAAGGGAGAAATATTTTTCAGCTATTGGATGGAAAACTCCCTAGGCACTGGGACACAGGAGTCAAGAGGCTTTTAGAGCTGAGACTTAACAAACACTGCAAGCAAGTGAGAACTTACTATCTCTGTATCCTGGAGACAATAGTGCTGAAAGCTGCCTGAATATCAGCTGAGGAGCACGTGCAGACCACTGGCAAGGTATGCTTTTGCAAGACATCTGATAGGTACTGAGGAGAGAACAGAACATGTTATGGTCCTTTTTTTGGTATAGTTTGTCACAGGAAGAAAATCTGCCTCCCCCAGCCTCCCAGGTATTCTCACACCCCAAGCACAGGCACTCTACCTATGTCCAATTTGTAGGTGATACAGTTGTTTCCCAAATAACTCATCCTTGTGCATCAGCCAAAGGAAAACTATTCCTCTAGAAAAAAAACTGAAACACTGCACCTTCTTGACAAACACCAACACTATATTCAAACCACAGCATTTCTGGCAATGACAGCTCTAGAATAGCAGGGGTTTTATGGATGCAAGAGTAGGGCAGCAGCAGAAGGCCATCTGCCTAGCAGACAGCACTGGGTAAGAGCAGATGCTCTTCACCTGCTTCTGGAACTGCAGTTGCAGCTCTCTGATTTCAAAAGGACAAACAAATGCAGTGTTCTGCACACCCTCGAGCACTAAAAAAAAGGGAAGGGTGCTACTACCACACATATTCCTCATGACAGACTGTCTCCCCTCCATGCAGCTAAAAGAAAACAAGTTAACTCACACCTCAGCTATACACGGACATAACACTGATGAGACTCGGCAATTATCTCACACTTTCAAACTCTGCACTGCTAATCCACACTTCCCAGCCAGTGCCATCTTCACCTCCTCTGATACTGCATGCACAAGCTGCTAAAACTGCTGGGAGAAGACCTACAAGACTTCTTAGCCATCTCTAGAAGGTATTTCTCCATCTTCCAAGTATAGAGAAACTGGAACCAGTAGCTTAGCTGGTATTTTTTATTTCAGACACTGAGACCACAGGTCTTCCAGAAGCAGAAAGTCAAACCAGATGACAAAACTCCACAACCCTGACACAAGTTCTACAAGCAACAGCGACTCACTACACATTTACAAGGTTTCTTCCATATACATTTCATTACTTTGTCAGACTGAAATTCCAAAAGGAGCAAAGTTTATTCCAAACTCCCACCCAAATCCATAACAAACCACCCCATGTAGCCAGCATAAGAAAGCACTGCTCAGGATTCTTCTTAACACAACTATCACTCACTCAGAAGAGAGGGGATGACACACCTGCAGTCAGGAATCACAAGTGTGCATGCAAGGCAATAGAGCAGCCCTGAAATATTTTCTCCTGTGATCACCATCTGTGCCCACAAATCCCAGCCTAAACCACAGGTCACTCCTCCCTGCTTCCTCTGTCCCAGCCTACCACAGCCAAGAAGTAGGCTCCTGAGTGGAAAGGTCTAGCCACTCCCAGTGTGCTAACCAGAAGGGATGGCATTTCTTAGTACAGGAAAAACCTCTGGGGAAGGGCTCAGGTGGCAAAGCCTTACAAGATCCACAGCATCTCTCAGTGAGATGAAATCCAATCGGTAAGCACTGAATGCTGCCAGCTCCCGTGCACCACCACTGCTCTTCTAACCAAGCAGCAGAACCTACTGGGTTAGTGGCAGAGCTCAAGGCCTGTCCATTCCTGAGGAGGAACAGTGAAGGAGATCTTTGCTTCAGGTAACGTCTCCTGCCTTTACCTGGCCTTGCCAATCAGAAGTATTGACAAGAATAATGTTTTCCGGCAGCTGGTCATCGGAAACCAGGATGTGATTTAGTTGGTCATATACCGTTTTCCTGGGGATCTGGAAATAAAGACAAAGAGAAGAGAACAGCAGGAGATGTCAGCTCTAATCCTCAAGCCACCAGCTCCAGCTCTTGCATTCATGACAGGTAGCTGTGCATGGCTGGCCAGTGCTCGGTCACCTCATCCACAAAGGCACGCTAGCAGCTGCGCTGGCTGCTGGGACTGACACCATCTTCTCAGTACTATTCTGCAGGCCCCTCTATCAGCCACTGTGGTTTTGTCAGCCACTACTCCTTCTGCCACACACTTTTCTTTATGTCACTTTATACCAACTAACAGCAGCTCAAGGAATTTTGGATTCATAGAAGCCAGCAACAGTCTCCTTCAAGGAAGGAATTACCCGAGTCCAACAGCTAACAAAAACATGGCAGAGACGCTCTGCACAAGTCAGTCCCTTTTTGCAATTCCTAGCAATTTGCCTTATTTCAAAGGAGTAATTCCTCAACACATCCCTATTCCTTTCTCAGCATAACAATCTGTTCCAGTGTTTTCCATTTATGGCTGGCTGACAAAGCAACAAGCTGGCAAAACCCAGCAGACTGGATGGAAGGAACAGCATCAGCCAAGCCATAAGTTCTCTCCTTCCTGCAGCCACAGGGCCCATTTTATTTCCAACAGGGACAGCACTTGAACCACATGAAAGGGACCACATAAGACAGCTGAAGAAGAGGAAAAGCTATGAGTAGCTGGAGAGACAGCAATCTTTTTCACACCTGTAAGGGGTGCCGGGTGTCTGGAGAACGTTCATTGTCCAGACTGTTCGCTCTCTCGTTCTGTGGCCTCACTGGCTGCCTCTCCTTCAAAGAGGTGCTCCTTCCCCGACGTCCCGTCTGCTTCCCTTCAGACCTGCTAGAGAGATGTGCTTGTATGCCAGAGCTGGCTCATACCTGAGTGAGATCCATCCCCCAAATCCCAGATTACCCATCTGGCAACCTCAACAATGTGAATACAGGCACCGGGGAATCGTGTATGTAGATTGGAGCTAGCCTGAGACCTGCCAATTCTGCTTCTGACAGCGCTGAGCACACAGTTCAGCTACAGAGCACGTTCCCAGGAGTCCCAGGGAGGCTTCCACAGCCCATTTAAGACCCACACCACCACCCTGCTATTGCTTCACCAGCACAATAGGATCCAGCCATGCAAACTGCAGTCACACACCCAAAAGCAGCGCAGAAATACCTTTCAAAAGAACATCTATTTGCTTGGAAATAACCAGAGAAACTATACGGTGGGGTTGCTGAAGCCCACATTCACTACCCTATTTGGGAAAGTTTAACAGGACATAAGTTAGATTTGACAATCACCTTCAAAGCCAAAATCTGCATCAGATGCTGACTTAACAACAGTATCTTTGAGCAAGCAGCTCCAGAGTTTTATAAAAACTTCCTTGGATGGGAAGCGGGCACAACACAGGAGACAGGAGCAACCTCAGAGCAATGTTGCCCTTCTGGGTTCTGAGCATTCATCTATCAAGTGCTCAAGACCCATCATTTGATTGCCTGAACACAAGGAGGGTCTCCTTGCAGCCAATGGCTTAAGGCTGTCCTGAACAAACACTATCAGGCTGTCCATGACTTCCCGAGCAGCCCTGCAGCAGGCGCAGTGCTGGGTCACCGCTCTACCTGGTGGACGGGATAATGAGGGATTCAGTCTTAGTGATCTTCCCGCTGGGTGGGAGCTTCTCCACAAACACATCTGGTGTGGGAAGTTCCGTTTCCTGGGCCTCGGTTTGCTGGTTAGACTCCTGCAAAAACACAGGGAACAGAGTCATCAGACACAAACCCTCCCCTCTGTCTCACTGCCACAAGGGCTGGCAGGAGGCACCCCAGCTTGGCTCTGGCTGGGGCACATCCAGCCTGCCTCTTCCAGACATGCTACTCGCTGCCAAAACAGAGACACCAATCCTGGCCATCTGGGGCTACCAGTTCCTAGCTCTGCCTCACAAAGGAGCTGGAGATAGGAAAGGTGCTCAGATATGCTATTTGGAATAGGCAGTCTTCCAGCTCAAAGCCAGGGACATGCCTCCAATGCAACACAGATTAATTCAGCTTACCCAAACGAACTAGCAGAGAAAAAGAGATATAGGAGAAGTGTTACAAACTGCATGTGCCCAGCTGAGCTACTTGAGCTTTGGGCTTTTTAGCCAGGACCAGTTTGATTTCTGCCAATTCAGCGTGAAGTAATACTTCTGCCTGATAAGAGAACAGCCCTGAGAATACTTTTCAGGACAATACACATGCTCTGTAGCGTGCTCTGGGCCAGCCTTCCTCAACCCAAGAGAAAGGCTGTTCAAACAGAAGGCATTTCAGTTTCAAAAGGCTGAAAGACAAAAACCTCTAACAACTAAGGTCAGGAGGAGAGCTCAGCATTACCTTCACTGCAGCTAATGTTCTCTACTTGTGTTTCACATGCAACTATATGAACAGACACATGCCACAATGTAGTTCACAGATGACACCCAAACTGCCAGGACAAATGTTAACAAGCGAGTTTTCAACTTACATAAGAGACAGTGTCAGAAAGACTGTCGCCTGCATGTTTGGTTCCAAGACTCTTTGTCTTTTCAGGCACTTCTACCTGCTTGAAAGGAAAAACATCATTAGGAGGTGGGGCACCAGCACAGTTTCAGCCATGCTCTCTGGATCAGGCTGTTGCAAAGACACACATCACTTGCAGCTGATGGGCAATAGACAGAAGAGGCAAGGAAGTGTTCTGGAATAGGGCTGATATGTTCTGCATCTAATATGTCCACCCACGAAGGGATGGAAAAGTGGGTGAGCTTCCCCTCAGTGTTCGCTCCCCGCCACTATGGAAAGTATCCCAACAACAGAAAGGTAAAGCTTCCTCCAAACAATGCCAAGGAGTCCTTAAAACTTCCAGGTAACATCTCCCATCCTGGCTGTCATTGGAAGTACACGGGAATCTGGAGCTATTCATACTGTTAGGAAGTATTCTATCTGAATCTGAAAAGAACCACTTGAGGTAATGTGATATTTGCTTTAAAAAAAGCAACCAACCGAAAAAAAAAACCCCAAAACCAAACCCACATGTTTTCTCAGCAGAAAATCCATGTGTGTGCATCCAAGTATTTGAAAGAGATCAGAGAGGGTGTTTTAATTTACACATGCAAATAGAGACAGTGTAGACATTAAGGCCAAACATGGCAGTTCAATACCATTTGGCCACAGCACTTTAATTTCAAAGGGAATGTAGATGGGTAGAGGAAATCTTGAAACTTCTGTACTAACTGCAGATAATCTTGAAACATGACTTACAGGACTTGATGGCTCTCTCTGGCTCCTGATGCTGTGGATGCTACCAATTTCTGTCTGAGAACTGGAGTGTGAAAGTCCTTCAAAATAAGGTCTGAATAAAGAAAGCAAAAGCCATTTCTTATTATCAAAAAGAGTAACAGAAAGTCTAACATGTTCACAGCAAAGCAAAACAACTGTTCCCAGGGTGTCTTATGGCTCCCCGATGGTTTCAGTAAAATTTATAGGCAACTTCTGAAAGGAAGGGGAGGTCTCCAGGACAGCAGGAGAAGCCAGAAAGTCCAGGGTCCCCTCACACTAACTGACCTCCACTTAAAAGATCCAACATGTCACCTGTCACACATACAACTATACATTTACAAAGTTCTTACTAGGAATGCTTGCACGCTCTCACACCACACCCCAAACAGCAGCTTTTGTTTCCATAAAATCTGGGGTGGGCACATGGGTCCAGCATTTTCCCCAGAGCAGAACAGAACGCACATTCACCCCACACAAGCAGTTATGTCCTCACTGCCCCAAGCACCAGGTGCAGAGTTTCACACCGCTGTTCTTGTTTCAGCTTTGCAAATGCTGATTGAACTGCATGCCAATCCAGACAGGGTCCAGCTCTTGACTGAAAGACAGCAAGTAGAGTTACTGCCTCCTGATGATATTCTGCTTCTGTGGGTAAGTGAGTCTGGGTGCTAATATGCATTTTACTTCCAGCTTGCATCTAGATTTGGCTGCCAGCCCTAGGATCCAATTACGCATTTGCTCAATAAGATCAGGTAGTGCATACAATCAGATTGGGCTTCCACAGAAAAAGGCAGCTCATCACAGCAGGCTACAAGACTCAATTACAATTTAAGGAACTGATTTTTTTTTTGTTGCAGGAAAACCTGCCTAGAATCATCAGCATTTATCACATCCCTTTCAAGATATGAACACAAGAACCGGATGCAGCAAGGTACAAAGTGTCTCTCTAGAACCAAATGGACACATTCTCACTCCAGCAATATTCCATCAATCCCATATCCCAGAACAGTTAGCTCTTCAGCTCCATTGAACAGGACATGAGCTCTCAGTGGGTGCAGTACAACATTCTGGCTTGTTTCAAAGCAGGTGTTTACTTCCAAATCCCTTCAAGGTAGGGCCTACCACCTATCAATATATTGGGTCAAGCTCCAAATGCCTTTATAAGCCATCAGCCCCTTCACTTACCACTGCTGCCTTAGTCTATCCTTGACTACTTCTAGCTCACTGATAGGGAATAAGTCACTCCAGACTCAGAATCTATTCTTAGCCCAACTAGGTTATTCTACATGAATTAGGATATTATGACACATGGTAATTAGCTGGCATTTAGCAGATACTGTACTGACCAACTGCAGCAGTAGGAGTTGTCACAACACCGAAGGCCTGAGCATGTCACCACAACCCAGTCAGCAGTCTGAGCACAGCTCTAACAGTCTCATGTTTTCAGTCTTTATTCAGGCAGGGACGTACACAGCTCTGTTAGCTCAGGGTTCTGCATCTGCTTGAGACCCTGCGCCAGCGATCCCAAGCTCAGCTGCACAGTGCTGCGATAGCCCAGATGTCAGTGCCCACAAAAGCTGGTTCAGAACAGGCTTGTGTGTACCTACGTGTGCTGCAGTCAGTCCCCTCAGGCCCTGAGGAACTCCTTTGTTCCCTGCAGCTCTGCTTCCTTAATCCCTGCAAAGACCCTCTTTCCACATAGCGCCTTATCAGTTTTTCCAGAAAGACAGTCTGCCTTGTCCATCCCTGTCTCTACTTCTGCAGCTTCCAACCACGTCTCCTTCTGCCTTAGCACAGATTTCCTGGCTGTTTCTACCACCTCTTCAGAACACCTGTGTACAGTTTAACTCTGCTGCCTGCCTGTCAGCAATTCCTACCCCTGTGCTCAGGTGTCAGAGCATCTGCAAAGGGAACAAGGAAGAAGTGAGACTGAAGGGAAGTCAGACCCTCTCACGCTACCCCCAGCTCACAAGCAGTCATTCATGTTGCAACAACACACACTAGGGCTTCAACACCAGGTCAAGAGGGGAAAAACCCAGGATGGAGGGGTGAGAATAGAAACATCTAATCTGTGCTGACACTGTACATGGTTCCTCTCTGGCCCAGCATCAGCTGCCCCACACTTACTTTAACTTTGGCTTTGGAGTGCTCAAAACACTGTCATCATCCTCCATTTCTGGCCCACTGTCACTGGGGTTCTCTATATCCAGTGTATCATACAGAAGGTCCAAATCCTCCTCCACCTCTGGAACGTGCTCTGCCGGGTCCTGCTCTGAATCCAGAACCTATACACAGGACAAAAGCAGGTATCACTGATCCTGCTATGAGTCAGGCTGATCCCATGTCACACGAGCTCCCCTGAGGACCACAGCACACCAGTCTTGGGACTAAGATTCTGCTTCTAGTGCAAGGATACTATATCCAACAGAAACAGTAACTATATGAGAAGTGCTTGTTTTGGGTCAAGCTTGTCAGGATGTGGTTAAGCAGGAGTTACCTATTGGACTAAGCATCCACAAAAAAGCTATTAACCATAGATTATGTCCATTATTCAATCCCATTCTATAAACAAAGCTTTAAAAAGGCTCCTAATGGTTTTGTTAGAACAAGACAGAAAGGCAGTACCCCCAACAGTGTGATGTGTCTTGGATTTTACAGAAAAAGTTGCCGTGACACCTCTGGATTTGATACCCAAACAGGCAGAAATGACAGAAACGTCCACAGGAGGCGCCTGAGACCTGGACAAGGATCAGCTGCCACCCACACACAAAGCCAAAGAGAACAGATAACTCCCACAAAACTTCCACGGGTTGCTTCACACATACACCAGAGTAAGCAGGCAGCCGTGCACAGTTCAGAGCTCACTTTTTGAACGGCAGCTCCAGAAAAGCAGAAGCTCAGCTGGCTTAGACCTCAGCTATGGGTGCTGACTCTGCTGAGCTAACCTGGGAAGAACAGCAAAGCTAACAGGACTATTTAGAAGCATGAGGAGTTACTCACTCTTTACCAATAAGCCACAAAATCAGCACAAGGCCATACAGCCAGCTGAGGTGTTAACTGTTTTTATATTAGCTACTTAACATTACACAGGTTCCTTGGGTTCTGGTTCTCTTTCATTTTCAGCTCTGACCAGCCAGCTGACTCTCCTGTGGATCTGCATTCCCTATCCAAGTTTCTCATGTCTTGCCTGGCTGTTTTAGTAAAACGATCGATCAGGCTGGGATTTAACTTCACAAGCAATATACACCATAGACTACTTGCCTTTGAAAGGGTCAAAGATTATTTCAAAGCAGTCTGCAAAACGAATGGGTACACACATGGTTGCCAAAATCTGGTTTTGATAAAACTCAATCTAGAAAACGTTTGATGATATTTTAAAGTTGGCCCTCAAGCCTCCATGCGAGGCCAGGGTGTAAGGAAAGGTCACATCCACTGCAGACTTGAAAACAAAATGAAGGGAACTAGGAGGAAATAAGAGAGTGTTTCTGAAGACTAAAGCAAGATGCACCAAGCAGAGGGCAACACACAAGACAGGAAGGCTTACAGAATGAATTACTTACCTCGTCAGACACTTTGAACCTCTTCAGCAGTGCCACAACCTTCTGTTTGAAGTTTTGTTGCTGCAAGTCAAAGACACTTTTACATAAGTAAAGTGAACTGTTTTTTCCCCAGTCTCCAAGAAGCTGAGACACATCTCACACTGGTGCTCTAGCTGCTGCTTCAAATCAAGTAACTCCTGGCAACACAAACCAGGTCTCTGGTGTTCTCATATTGAAATCAGCTTTTCCAAACCTATGATACTTTCTCTCCTGCAGTACAACAAACCAGGTCCCACTCCACCAAGCATTAGAAACCTTCTGGCCCTGACAGACGGCACACCACTCTTGGTTGGATAACCAATTCTTTTATCTGCCATATCACCTCCTGTTTGCTAAATTTCTGGCAAACATTTGACAGTCAACTTTACTGATTCTTAACAAGGGTGAGCCAACACAGGCATCTACCAACTGACCCAAAGTACAAATGTGCTTTCTACCAACAAAGCATTATTTTTTTCTTGGAGCTTGCAGTTCATCCTGGCAGGCTCATTTATTTGACTAGCAGCACTGCAGAAAAGCTGTGGGGCTTGTCCTTAGCACTTGCTTATCAGAAAAATAGCAGGCACCAAGTCCAAAACAACACAAGCCAAACTGCTGCACTTCTTTCAGGTTTACCTGCCCCCAAGAGCTCTGTCTCTCTTGCAGGACCAAACAGCTGAGATGTGCCACGAGTTGCCCAGCCCTTCAGTATGTCACTGATCAACCCAATATGCACACTGTGAAGAAAAGGAAGATGAGAAGGGCCTAGCTGCGTGTGCTGGTACAGAGCATTTGAGGCAGCATCCCTGTGTTAGGAGGAAAGGGAGGAGAAAATGGTCAGCACCAGGCCACTCTTCAGCGAAGGAATTTGCCCATCTGCTGGCTCTCCTGCATCTCACTTGAGCTCTTCCAAGTCTAATTGTCTGGTCCCACTCTGGCCTCAGACACTTCACACTGCCCCATGCCTACAAACCTAGCTCTTTACCTCTGAACTCAAATCCTGCAAGCTGCAACCACCTTCTAGAGAGCTAAAATTTAGGTCAAAACCTCAAAAAAGACTCTCCAAAAGACTACCCTATTTCTGTCCCCAATGCACTTGTGAGGCCAAGATGCTCTCCCAACAGAGAGTTTTTCTCTGGCTCAGGATGCCAAGGAAAACCGTCCATCACACAGACAGATCATCTTGGATCAGCACAGCAGTCTGTGGAGGGAGGACACAGCATACGGTAGCTAATGTGACATGGCAAGAGCTGTTCACTGGCCTGAATGGTCTGACAGTCAGCAGACAGAAGACCTGTTGGGTTTGGAGTCAGATGATGTCAACTGGTAGCACCAAACCCAGTTTTGCACCAGCCCCACATCATCAATCTAATGGTCAGGGCTAGAAAGATGTTATTCTTACTATGAGGAAGTTGCTTATTTAACAACCAAGTGGTGTATTTTGTCCTGACTGGTCACTGACACCTGAAAACAATAGTAAGGACACCAAGGATATGAACTAGCATGCTCCTAGTCTCATACAGAGGGTCCTTTTAGTGGCAGATTCGGGTCAAAACAGGGTTTATTTCACACATTATCAAAAAATGGATTTCAGAAAGCATCACAGGAGGTACAGTGATCTCTAAACTTACTCCTGAGTCCAAGCAAGAAAACCTAGTCCATCCTGGTGGTTTCAAGTTGTCATCACAGATGTGCACAAACACTTGTGTAAGCAGAAAGCTGCATTATGGTGTGGTCAAGCACAAGTCACTGCTCCACACAGAAGTGCAGCTTTGCAGGTATATGCATGCTTGCTGTGAGAGGAGGGATAGCTGCGTGCCACTTGCCAAACCCTTCAATATCCAGCTACTTCTTTTGCCTCAGCAACACGTGCACCACCTCAGGTTTATCTGTCAATCTCCAGCCCCTGACTGAGCTACTTAACTTTCTTTTGATACCTTCCCACTGGCCTCTCCCATGCAGAACACAATCAGAGGAGCTTCTCTTCATTTAAAGCTACTTTCAAGACTTACATGAGAGTGGCTTACACTGGCTTCTTCACGGGGAAGAATTTCACACACTCACACGATTTTTGGAGCTCCTTAACCTTGCAGCCAAAGGACACTCAAGACAGCACATACACAAACCTTGGACAGCCCCACTCCCTGAACTGGCTGCTTCTGCTAGTTCTTCACATGCTGTGACCATGTCCCCAACCTCCCTGCTGGGCCAGCATGTCTGCAACTGCTGCTCCCATAAGCCACATGCACTCCACATCCTGGCCAAACCCCGTCAGTGTTAGTAAAACTAATTTCCACCGACCCTGGTTATGGACGTCGTTCTTACTATCGATCTCCGCTGCTTCTTGGGCTTCCCCAGCTCGTACTCATCATCATCCAAATCCTGCACAGAAAGAGGATTCCTGTGTTACCTTTGTGATTTGGGGACACATGAGCATTTAAGTGCTAAAAATGTTCTCTCTATGAAGATGAACCTGCTGCTCCCTCTTCCAGGCTTTCAGCATTTGCCTTAATTGCAGTTATGATGGCAGAGGAAAAAAGGAAGTGAACCAGGTCTGCAGAGAGACAGGAATAACAGCCTGGAGAAGCAAAACAGCCCTAGCTCTACATTCAAGGAACAAAGGTAGTCACAGCCCCATATTTCAGTGGGTTCCTTCCTCAGTACCCTCCAAGAGGTGGAATGCAAATAAGATCCAAACTCTAAAGCATCTCACATCTAGCCAGACAGTTCTCCATAGGGACCTATTTTGCAGAAAACATTGAAGACTAAAGACTGACTCAGGCCCCACTGGCCCTATAATTACAGCTGGGGGTCCAGTTGGGCTCTTTGCATCCATTCAGCATTACAGAAGCAATCAACTGCTGCCTTGACCATTAAGCAGAGAAACACACAAGGATGTTAATGTTTTAGTGTTTAAAGGGAGCTCAAGTTCAAACACATGAACAGATAAATCACAGCATGGTGGAAGAAATGTGTTATAATGCAGGTCTTCTCCCACTGCAGGTAAATACTTGGTGACAGTCTCACACTGTCATGGTTTAGTTAAAGAAATAGGCCTAGTTTCAAGCATGAGCTTCACAGGGAGAAGCCATGCCCTAAACAGTACCTGGCCCTGTACGGCATCATCACTGGCCTCCTGCTCAGAAGAGAAGCTCTCGTACTCCTCCTCGGAATAGTTGTCTGAAAGGGAAGGAAAGAGGGGAGAGATCCTGTGAAACTCCTTTAAGGTCAGGGGACAGTCTCATCTGAGGAGCATAGAAGGCCAACTAACAGTCACACATCAAGAAAGGAGGCACAGAAGGAGATGCCTGCTAATTTATCTTCTATCTGTGCTAGAACCAGTGAGAGGGGAACTGCCTGGAGGTAAGGAACAAGGAGAAACACTTCTAATAGGAAGGAAGGACCAGCACACAGACAAGGCTCCTTGAAATACCACCCCCTTTTACCCTGGAAAAAAACACCTTGTAAACAGCAGCAAGTAAAGAGGTTTCTCCACAAGGGAAATTACTTTTCCCCCTAACATGGGCATAACTGGCTCAAAGGAGCAAGTAAGATGTGCCCGGATAGTCTAAATCCTTTGCCAAAATGACACTTCAGGTGAGCTGCCCGGCCTTAGGCAACCACATACAAGCAGCTGCGTGCACTACCTTCAACAGGTCACTCTTCTAGCAGTGAGCACAAGGCTGGTACCAAATAAAAAGACTGTCACAAGTGAAAACCCAGTGCATTATTTTTCCCCCCCATACGGTGTACAACGCCATGGATCTGCACTCATTAAACCAGGCCATAGTCCACAGGAAAACATTTTGCAGGTCTCATCTAAGTTAATGAGATTTACTGTAGAATACTCAAAGGAAAAAGAATTTGGAAGAGTAGCTTAAACGTGAATCTCCTGAAGACAACATTTAGTCAGCTGAGAAGCTACAGGTTCTCAACACACTCACCAATAATGCTGGAAGAGCACTGGTGAGAACACAAGTTAACCCTTGCTGCATGGCTCAAGCCTGCTGTGATATGCAGGAGAAGCTTTGACAATTCAATCCCTCACTCCTGTCACACTCCCTGCTTACGCAGCAACAGGTTTGCAAAGTGAGTTTTCTTTGCATTAATCAGTTATAGACACGGCATCTTGTGCAAACCAGTTCCCATTTGTTCCAGGAAGCATCTAAGCCCAGGTGGGGTTTAACTCCAGCTAGTTCAGGAAGATATTGGTCCTCAGAGCATGTGGTTGTACCCTTACCTGTAGACTTGATTTTCTGGCTGGCCTGCATAGTGCTGTCTTCATGGTCAATTGGCTGACTCGACAAGGAGAAGATCCAGATTTCTGCTACCTTCACTGCAGCCTCTTTGATGTTGCTGAAAAGGCTCAGAACCTGGCCACCTTCTGTTGGGTGCTGCATGACCTGGGACAAAAATTAGGCAGTATAAATCTGCATTTAAATGTATTAAACTTGAATCATTTCCATACTACAAGAGTTATTTAATAGAGTTACTCCACATTTCCAAGTACAGAAGAAAACCAACAACCTGCAACTGCAGGAGCCACTTGCAGGCAATCCACAATGCTATTTATTTGACTACTAATGGAAGTGAACGAAGGAAAGAAAAAGTGTTCTGAGCTTGACAGTTGATTAACTCATCCTTGAAGCACAATACGTGACTGCTTCATTACTACGTATTTGCTTCCATACCACAGTACTGATTTGAATTATCAAGTTACCAATCTTCTGAACATCTAATTAAGGAACTTAATTCTGTGTTGAAGCACAGCAGAAGAGCCAGTAAAGGCAAAAATTCTTGGTGAGATACAGATGCAAAGTGATTTCTTAAAGCAAAAATCCCTTCTCCAGAGAGCTGGCATCTGAATCTCAGAGGAGCTGGCCACTCCAGAATTATGAAACAGTAGGTCATGAAAAACAAGATGACTGTGGAGGCAGAGGGATACCTCAGTGTGGGTTTCTCCTTCCTTTGCCACTCACAGCTCACAGGGCTCTCCCCAGAACCTAAGACTTACGTTCTTCTCTCGCCCCACTGGAGTCAGCAAGTGCTTCCCCATGCCTGCACCTCAGCTTTCTAACACACCAGGCTGCTGTCAGCTCCTCACATGGCTTTAAAAAGACCTGCGTTGATGAGGAACATACACATCCTGCTCTTAAACTCTGCTCAGATTCACAATTCTAATTCATTGCTTTGTTTCAACAGCTAAGAGATTTATATATATATATATTTTAAGAAACATTTCAGTGCTGTTTAGGGGTTATTATACACTAAACTGCAAAGGGGAGGGGGTGGGGCTTACAAAATTTGTTTTTCTGAAGTCTTCAATTTGAGAAATATTCCAAATGAGCTGGAGAGCAACTATTTTCTAACACAGTGAACCTTTGAAAATTTTTGACCTTCTAACCTCAGTCAGCTGACATGACAAAGAGACAGAAGAAAAACCACACGCAGCAGCAGCAGCAGCAAATGCCCAGTGCTTGGAAGTTCACTGATGGGTCTAATTAATGGGCCCACATGTTGTCTGCCTTACAGCAGTATTTAATTTTTAGTTCTTCAACAAATCAAACAGTACAGGAAAAATGTTAGCTACAACACCACAAATCAGAATTTTGCCAATTCAAATGGGGAGTTCACCATTTACTGCAAGTCTCGGGGAAGCTGAACTCACACACAAGTAGTCCTTATAATTAATTACTGCATACAGTAATAACTCACCACTGCATAACACTAGCTTAGTTTGGATGGAAATTATTTGTTGACAGAATGCAGGCTGATGAAAAATACTGGTGTTAAGCTCAACCTGCTACTGCTACGCCCATCTCTAAACACTCAGAAACTGCAGAGATTAAACAGGGCATGAAATAATGAAGCATGGAGCTAAGCCACTCAAAAAGCCTTAGTGAATAATTTATCCGTACTTGATTCCAGCATTAATTTTCAGATGTAAATCAGAAAATTTTATCATTCACCTCATGAGTAGAACTCCACCCAAATTACCAACAGCCACAAAATCAGAATTGCAAAGGGTGTTTCAAGCAAAATGAGAGAAACTACTTCATCCTGAACTCTCATAGCATGGCACAGAGAAGCACAGTAAACTTTGCTTTAACACCTCTTAGGGCTGGAGGGCTTACCTGAGTGACCCAATTGTTCTGCACTTATGAAACAACAAAACGTTTCACATTTAAGACTGACCCGAGATAAAAGCATGCCTAAGTTCAACTGAACCAAATACACTGCAACTTCTGCTGTTCCTTACAGTAAACTTGATACAAAAGAATATATTTACTAGTTTTAAACTTATGCTGAAGCGTCCTGAATGCAAAGGGGCCAGCACTGTATTTAGGTGAAATGATCTGGACCCTTCAACTCCAAAAAAACCACTGAACAACAAAATCCTCAGAAGGCAATAAGCTAGCCTTGTGAAAGCTTTAGCTCTCAAGATACTATTCAGAAAACATCTAGTATTATTACCCAGTAGTACAATCTGTTTAAAATATTGCCCTGTGAATACTGATTACAGTTATTAGGACAGCTATATGAAATCCTGCCAGGAACTTCTCAGTGAGGAAAGTGAGAACATTGGGTTTAAAGAGAAGGGAAAATGTCTACCTTAGTAAACAGAGATCAGGTCAAATGCTGCTCACCTCAGCCATGTTGATAGATCCCACAGCCAGAGTCTTGTAGCCTAAAATGGTTCGGTTCTTGTACCGCTTCCGCCGCTGCAGCATGATCTGAAGCTTGTTGCCTTCTCTCTTCAAGAAGTGAGGGTACTGCGGTTGGAAATACAACGGAAAAGTTAACGATGTCTCTTGACATTATCTTGCAAGCTGCCTGCTTCACAAATAAACTCCACTCCTAGGGATTAACCCAGGGCTTTTGGAAGTACCTACAGCTACTCATGCCCAGTGTATGATCCTTCATTATCCCAAGGAAGCCTTCACCTCTGCCAGAATAGCTCCGCTCTGGGCTTTTGTTTCCCCAGCCAAGAATACTGAAAACACAATCCAAGGGCACAGAGAACTGTTCAGTCTGGGAAGGGCTGAGCCCAAGCCTGGTTCCAGAGAGACAAGGAGCCTCCAGGAGATACTTCCCCCAACAGCTAAATGGAGGCTGCCCAGAACTGGAGCCCCAGAGGTGCTGCCCCTGCACAAACAGCAGGCAGCATGCAGTGGGAGGGACAGCCACGGACCCAGGACACGGCCTTCTCTCCAGCACACAAACACTTCTCAGTGCTTGATCCTCTAATGCACACTTTTAAGAACCTAATGTGCTCTGAACAGCAGGTGAAGAGAGGCACAGCTATGAAGAGGCCAAGGATTTGTTGATGCCTATTTTGCTAAAGCGCAGAGACCTACATGGTCACACAATGACTCTCTCCAGGGTGATGCCATCTCCTTCACGCACGTGGCTCTTGCAACTGTCAATGTTTTCCAGCATTGATACACTCAAACTTCCATTGCTCCAAGAGGACGATTTTATGTAGTTAAGTCGAGAAAAATCCTGTTCTATTGCCAAGCTATGTTGCAAAGACATAAATCTTTCCAAGGCATGTTCCATACAAGAAAATACATTTGTTTATGTATCACCCAAAAAACTCCCCCAGAACAGAGAGGCTGTGAAGTCAAGCAGAGACTATTAGGGGAAGAGGGGGGCTAACCATGCTACCTCAGCTTGGCCAGCTTACCTGCACAGCATGTTAGTGCAGTCAAGCCCTGCCTCCTGCCAGAGCACAGGCAGTCCCCAGGGCCCAGCTCACCAGCTGTGGGAGGAAGAAGCCGTGCAATGGAAGGACAATCTTCAAGAAAAGATACAGCAGCCACTTGACCAGGTATCTGAGTCTCATCTTGATGAGAGGGGTGAATGGGACACATGTTCCAAATACACAAAATACACAGCAGTAACCAACCTGCAGACAGGAGAACCTAACTGCAGGGGTTTCAGACAGGATATTCCCAAGTGAAGGATGCTTTCTTTTTTTTCCCTCCTCTCCTTGGGACACTGTGAAAATAATTTCCTGCCTATCAAAAGGTTTGATAAATACAAACGCTGAGTGCCAGCAGAAACACCGAGATATTAATTTGCAGTCCAGAGCAATCCTGACTGCTATGCAGAGAGCTGGGAGCAGTGGCCACACAAACAAGTAGAATACTAATTAACTGATTACTCTGCAAGGGCAAGATCTACTGTGCATTGCACAAGGAAGCAGCCCTGTGGAAGAGAGGAACAGCAGTCCACCTCATTAAAAGACAATCTCAAAACACACCTACATCCAGACACAAACGGAGCCTGTGACTTTACAGATGTGCAATGTCCCTAAACAAGGATGGAAGAAAGTTATTGGCAGGAAGAGGCAGGAGGGACTCAAAAAGCCAGAGGCATTTTTTGCATTCAAATCTACCATCTCCCTGCCTCTGGGGCCCTTCCACATGTGGGAAGGTCAACAGGCGAGAGGGCCTCCTTGCTTTCAGCCCAAGGCACTTGGCCACACCAAGGCTGCTTAAGTACGAGACTGCAACTAAAGTCCAAAGTCCCACTTGGTCCCAGGTCAGCTTGAATTCAAAGTGTACAAATTTTCAGGGATTAAACTGGACAGCTCAAGTCCATACACGTGAAGGTTTCTGTTTTTCAGAGGTGTGCTGCCCGGCCACCTCTGATGAGCAATCACAGAGATGATAAAAGAAAGGTGCAGAGACACTCGGGTCACTCAGCTCCTCAGTGAAAAGCAAGGGCCTCCAAAAGAAAGGCTGACCCATTTTCATAGCACAGACAAGCTATTTTTAACACCAGCCACAGCTTATCGACTCTACAGAACGATTTCAACCAAAACTTTTCAGTAATTGTCAGTCCATGACTGAGATGGGAAGGGAAAACAGTTTGGCTCAAAACATTTGAAAACAAGACTTTCAGAGGAAGCACCAAGCACTCCAAGGCACTTCTGAGGGGTGAGAAGAGGAGGCCATCACACACACCAGGACAGCAAGAGTCAGGGCAAGACATTCTTTCTGAATCCCCAGTGATGCGATTCCTTCCATCTGGAAAAGTTTATTAGATGAAACTCAGGAATTAAGTGCTCCAGGGAGCTGTGATGATGTGCTTGGAACAACTGGAGAATTTCACTTGACCCAGTGAAACCCACGGAGGGTCAGGAGAATCAGTCATTCCAGCAGTAAGAGTGATGGTAGATCATCTGCTAGAAAGGCTATTGTTGGTCTAGCCCCAGCTAGCAAGGTGAAGCAGGATCAGACACACCACTAGCTCCAGTTTTACCCCAACTGTGTAATACAGCAACAGGAAACTCCTCCCTTCTGGTTGAGTGGAGGTCTGCCAGACAACAGGCTGCTTGCTATTATGCCAGCCAGCACCCTCACCCTCCTAGCTTAGCTCTGACAAGGAAACTCTCTGTGCAAAGGACAAGAATTTCACCTGGGAGAAGCAGCTGGGAAGGTGGTGACTGTGAAGATATGAGGAGCTGCAAATCCAGACAGCTAGCACAAGGCAAGGCACACAGTCTGAAGAGTTGACAGTGTGATACGGAGATACTAGCTGCTCCAGGACACTGGGACCTGCTGGTGCTGTGACATCCACATGCTTTTACTTTGTGGCCCATCACCACTGTCAATTATACCCCAGGCACTAAATTCAGACTTTATCTGGCTTAAGCTGCAGTTGTTAGCTTGGAGTAGCTTCCAGCCATTGTTCAATTAAGAAACAATAAAAGCTGTCATAAAAATCCTGCTGTGCCATTTCAGGAAGGCTTCACAAGCCATACTGCATCCAAGACCACCAATCCTTCCCGCAGTCAGAGACCAGCAGCACACCTCTGCATTAAGCTAGCTCACCTCTTCTGAAGGCTCAGTGTCACAGACACTGCTCTGCCCTATTCTGGCTCAATTCCCAGCACCTTCAGAGGAAACTGAGTTAAAGACAATGCTCAGAGCAATGCTGCAGCATTGCTCTGAGTCCCAGAAAAAAACCTATATACTCAGTTAATTCCAAAAAGATCTGCACAAATACTTGCTCCTTGCTGACACAGGACTGGCAGAGGAAGACCTGGCTCATCTTAAAACTCTGCTCCCAACCATGGGAAAGCTGCAGCCCCAGTACCCAAGCACAGGAATTCCTATTCCTGGCACATGGCTTTGTTATTCCTGTTCACAAAGGAGAGGATGCAACGCTGCAGTTAACCCAGCCTGTGGGCTGCATCAGGACAGAACCAGAAGCATCAGCCATCTGTGTATCTGCCTGGGCAGCTGCAGGGTTATCACCACTCTGCAATGGAATCTTATCTGCTTGGAGCCTGCACAGGTCTCGGTAACAACCAGTCTGTCTCACATCATCATCTGAGCCTTTCTCTGTACCAGATCAAACTCTTGACTTCAAGATCTAACCAACAGTCCCAAAACACAGAGAATCCAGACATGAATGCTTCTGAGTGTCTGTCTGGCTCTGCTCTGTGCATGCAGGATCCTCCTTCTTGCTTGCAGCCAGCCAGCTTCTATTTACCTTATTTCCCTGCTCGGTAGGTAGCACCAGGGCAACATGCTTTGAGGAAAAGAGGAACCAATAAAATACAGTTGTTCCAATTCCCAGCTATTCCTATGACTCTAGAGCCAAAAGTAACTGCATACTGCTCCTGCTTCCCCAAATGGTGCCTCCTTCAGCAACTCCAAATCAGAGTTTCACCTCTCCCATTTCTAATACCGTGTTCCATCAGTCTGATACTCCATGCCCCTCTGCAGTGCCATTCATAAGGAAGACAGCAAAAGGCAAAGAGCCATCCTGCTCTGCTCCAGTTCCTGCCACAGCCATAACATGAAGAGGACAGACTGCAGCAAAGTCCTCTTGTACCTGGGCTCCAAACACAGGATACGCAACAAGGAAGCTCCCCTAACACTGCAAACCAGCACCCTGCTCCAGGCCCTCAGTGCTGAGAGGCAATTCAGACAAATTTCTGTTGCACTAAGGACACGCAAATTGCAGCTAGTGTCTAACTTGCCTGTTCCCCTAGACAAGCCAGGATTAGAGATCCTTCCATGAGGCAGGGTTGGCCCCAAGAACAATTCTAAGGGTTTATATGGCAGCTTTCCTAGTGGGCTTCCCCCTCCCTAGATGCTGGAAGCATCTGGGCTATTTTTGCTTAAAATTCCCCACAGCTGACTGGCCAGAGACAAGCCAAAGGAGCTCAGGAAGCTCTTCAGAAAGGGCTGGGACTGCCTTATGAAAGAGCATTCCTGGCAGCACTAGAAGTCTCTTCACCTCAGACCCACAACACTCCTCTGTTCACTGCAAAGCAGCAAGCCCAGCAGGCACACCAGCCCAAAGCCACGTCCCACGTTACCTGCAGTGAGAAGGTCAGTGCAAGCTCCGTCTCCACATGTCCACTCGGGGGCAATACGATCTCATGGGACCGCAGGATGCGCTTGGAGCCCTGTACAGAAACAAGGTCCATAGGGTGAATTCCACAGAAGCCAGCCCTTACATCCCACCCCACTCCTATTTACTGAGAACCAGGAAACATTGTCAGGGACTAACACAGTGAAAGTAACACAAAGAAAGTGAACGGATGGGTCTGACCTTGCACTTCTGTGAAATATTAATGAGATGAAACGGAGATATTTGACTAATAAAGATTTGGGCATATTTACCATCCCTAACTGCAACAAAGCAGCTTTTGTTCTACCAAACCCCAGCATTCAAAAGCTATGAGTCAACCCCTGCCCCTCACGTTCAAGTCTCATATTTTTTACTTCAGCCAATAGGTACAAGGCTCATCATCTCCTGGGTTTGGAGGCTGCAGCGTCATGCTTAAAACTCCAGCGTTAGCCATACCTGACTGGTCTTTTCTTCTTGTGCAGACACCCCTCCCTGAGGAAAGCAGAGATTTTAAGCTGTTTGAACAACTGCAAGGAGTTGGGGTTATAAAAGAAAAAAATCCACTAAGCATTGCAGTGGAGTCTGGAGACCTGATAGTATCACAGGGAACTCCAAATCAACGCTGTGTTTGGGCTGCTGTACGCTAACCGAGTTACTGGGCTATTTAACTCTGTGAGCATTTCATTTCAGGGAATGTTTCAGGGAAAACTATAGCAGGAAAGCACGACAGATTGCTGCCTAGCAAATCCTTCTGCACTGTTCAAACACGATGGCAAGTTTCAGAAGTCCCTGGCTCAGTGTTCTGCTGAGGCTGCAGATATGGCTTTGTCCAGACGGGCTGATCTCCCAGAAGCACAGAACTGTAGCTCTCAAAAAAGCAGCATCTGGGAAATCAGAGACTGGGGGGGGTAAACACCTCCCAGCTACATCCAAAGGAAAATCTGGTCTGCCCACATCAGCCCCAAATAGCATCCTGAGATGAGAGAGAAGCAGAGACTGGTTTACATCCCTTCCTCCCCAAGCACATCACTCGGGCAGCCAGAATGAGTGCTGTGATTTGCAGCTGTGCCTCAGCTCCTGCACAACACAGCGCAGGCTCCTCTCTGGAAAAGCTGAGGTGCCAAAGCTCCAGCAGATCAGAAGACCAGACAGCAGAACAGGGTGAGAAACCAAAGGTCTCCCCTCAGGAAAAGCAGCACACGTTCAAGTACAGCACAGCTAGCCTCACCGCTGGCAACATCAGCATCTGTTCCCTCGGAGCAAAGCTCCCAATAGCAGCAATCTTGCTTTACTTGTTATGCAACTTGAAATCTAATGAAAAACCAAATATAGCTGCTTTTAAAAGACCTCAGCAGATAAACAGAGCAATGGCTCTGGAAATACAGTTGACAACTCTTTGAACATCACTGCTCAGGAGGCTGCAAGGAGGCATGGGAAACGCAGGTAAGATGCTCTCATTAGGTCTGAATTCAGTCATCCCCTCTGGAAGGGCTCCAGTGCCTGACACCTCTCTCGCAATTCCCCATACAAAGGCAGTGAGTCATTTCACAGAAATCATGTATTTGATGATCCAGTATCACCAGCCTCGAACACAGCCATGCCAGAAACCTGAGTGCTGGCAAATTAAGTATCCCTGAAAGAGCTTGTCAGCATCATCATCATAACCTGCAAGCTATAAAGGGACTTTTAATAACAGGGCTTCCAACCTGCCTGTGTCTGAGACAGTTGCAATGCTACTGACCCACTGTTAAATGGCACATCACAAAGAAATATGGGTGATGATCCAGCACAAGGGACAGCTAAGTTGGGGCACCCTCTGGGATAGCGGTCATTCCAGCCACTGTCACCTCTACATCAACTGGAAGGACATATCAAAGGCAAAAGAAGGATGGCATGGGGATGTGAGCTGCAGCCTGGGACTTGGCAGATGAGCACCCCAAACAGGGCAAGTCCTTCTGCCTCCCAGTTCTTCTGGGATCTGTGCTGGTGTAGGAAGGACAGCAGAAGTGCTCAGGTCCAGTGTCAGACTTACTGTGGCAAGGCACAACATGTACCTAAAACAGACAAGCAAGTCCCACAGATTAAAACTCCCTCTGGACTTGCAGGTCTGGGGCAGTGTTTCCAACTTTTTCGCCCATAAAAAGTGTAAGCAGTCAGCAGTAACCTGGATGAGAAAAGAAGGTTTTGCTCTAGTAAAAGCTATTGAATTCTCTAACCCAAGTCTGACACGCTCTACACGTAGATCATTGACTGATAAGCCTCAGGCCCTTACAGTGATGCATCCACCATCCAGGAGTACAAACACATGGAAAGCTTTCAGCCCCGATAAGCAACATCTGACAGTCTGGGAATCCACAACCATGCTTCTTCCGAGGCCTCATGAATCCAGGTGTGTGAAAGGATTCCCTGCCTTTCTGCTCCCTGCTGTGGGTGCATGAACCCCCGCCAACACAGAGGTACACATTTTCACCCCAGCTGGACTGCTCACGGAGAGAAGAGATGCTGGTTACATCCTCAGCTGCATGTTCTTGCACCACAGAGCCTTCATGATTTCGGATTCCATGCTAGGTTGTGTTTTGACATAACCAGCTCTCTGCAGGGGTTCTCCTGGCTCTTTATTTGAACAGTATCTGCTTTTCAGCATGGTTAATGGTATTTTTCTACTTACAGGTCTGCTAGGCTTTTACTCATTAAGTACTGTGGCATTTGCAGTGGTGGGAGCACATGAGCTGAACTGATGCTGTGACGCACTGTGGAACCGAGTCCCCTTCCTTCCTAGCCTGCCTCCAGGCAGTGTGACCTACATGTAGGCACCTAATTAAATGGCACAAACATATGCTGTAAAGTGGGTTATTTAGCTAGGATGACAGCTGTATTTTATGGAAACAAATTAAAACGTACAGGTACCCTACAAATCCACTGACAAGCACCTGGCTGCAAAATTAGTTGGACTCCTGATAACAGAGCTGCCCCTCATCAGAGGAAGGCCCAGTCTCCAGACCCACTAACCAGGACTGAGTTACCAAGACGCTCAGCCCCAAAGTGAGCTGAAGCACGTTAAATAGAGAACCAGGCTTGGATGTAGTGACAGCTCAGGAAGAAGAGGTGACAGCATACGATCTGTAAAGAGCATTTTACATACAGATAAGCTCATGCAGAGCCCTCAGCGAACAACATTCTTTGCTTACAACAGTGAAACTCAATAGGAACATGGGGGAAGGATCACAAGAGACTCTCCACACATTCAGAATGCCCTGATGTACTAGAGAAGAAGTCTACAGCTGCAATGGACCCTCATGTGGAGGTGAAGCTCAGTTTAGGCATTTGCCAGTATTTTTACCCAAGCAACACATTTAATTCTTAGAACTGAGCAGCAATTACCTGCATTTTGACAGCAATGACCCCAGAAATAAGCTCCTTATCCAATTCCTTTAAGACTACCAGTTTCTTTAATGTCAAGCTGCACAACCTGCAAACAGGAACAGAAGAGAAACAGTTACAATCATGCCTGAAAAAGGGAAAAGCTCTGAACAGCTTTTACACACAGCAGTACCCCAGTTTGAGGGAGAACAGGCTCCGGAGACAAGTCACACACTGGTACAGACAAAGACAGCAGAAACATGTGAGGCGTCCCTGGCTTTTCAGACTGAATTTCTTCAACCTGTCACAAATAGAAGGAGGTGGAGGACAGATACGTCTCTCTGTTTGACACAGACCCATGACCACATGAGAGCGCCTCACAGCACAAACTTCCACTGACCACAGCCTGGGAACTCTTGCTCTGAGTCAGACCAAAAGCTTTAGGGTCAGAGGAATTAAATTCCAGCAATATAAAAGCACTGGGTTGAGTCTAATTTTAAACTTGTCGACAAAGCTTTCCTAGATTGTTGGCTTTTTCAGTTTCAGACCCGTGGCTTACAAAGATCTCACTCCCACCTCCTGTTGTCAACCCACACATTCTCCTCCTCACCCCCAAACAACAGTTCTAGCAAGCGGCTCAGGCACCTCTAATGGGAAAGGGGAAAAAAAATAAAAGAAAGAAAGAAAAAAAAGAAAGAAGGCAGGACTCAAGCAGTGCCCTCTGGCCCTGGCTTCACATGCCACACATATGCAAGTAAATCACATTCTTTACCCAGGCAATGCTACATTGTTCTGGTTAAAGCTGTTTGCACTTCTGCCTTCCAGCACAGGGAGCACGGGAGGGGATAAAGATTGGACTAAGTACAGCTGAGTTAAGGCTCTGAGGTAATGAGACCACGATATTGGCACTGTCACAATCCCACAGAAGTTACCACCAGCTGGTGTAATTAAGAAGGCATGCCTAGAAACAAACTTCAGGGAAAGATAAACCTGAAGCAAAGACAGCTCAGCTTGAAGAAAGCAGAGGCCAGAGAAAGCTGCTGGGTGGGCTCTAGGGACTAGACATCATCCGTCACGCTGGCCAGGAGCCAGCACTGCCTTTGTGTCAGGTCCCTACCCCACAGCATGGGCATCTTTGGCCTCTACCAGGGGCTGTTAGCAAGCCTCAGCATGGCTCCTCTGAAACCCACCACAGAGCTCTTTCTCTCAGATAAAGCATAATAAAATCAGGGCTGTTCATGAAGGGGCCAAGTCCAGCAGTAGATGGGAAGGGAAGAGGAGTTGATGCTGGATTTTGGTGTGCGCCCAGGCAGCAGCAGCACAAGTGCCATTGACTGAAGCCTGCACTTAAATACAGGACTCCACACTGGTGCCAAGAACCCAGTAAGTCACTACTGCAAGGGTTACTTGCACCTTCACCATCTTCTTCTCTACCATGGTGGGAAGCTGAAACATTGCTTTGCTGCACTGCAGGAAGGTAGACACAATCAGCCTGGGTGTAAAACTGCAGGAGACAGCTAAAGGCTCTTCCTGACAGGAGCAGTGGCAGATGTTGAAGCAACTGCTGTCTGTCACATTCAGAAACGCCTGTGGCTCTGCCTGAACTCTGCCCCCTTGTACAGGGCTAGGAACAGGGAAGAGCTGGTCTTCGCTCTTATGGTCTTCACTCAAGCACCTCTCCAAACCTGCCCTTACCAGCCCCTTCTCCACCCCAGCCCATGCTGTCTGCCTCTGAAAAAAATCAAGAGAAAGAGAACTAAAAGCTGTCTCCTTTGCAGAGTTTTGCATCAGAAGATGGTGCAGCCAGAGATGCTACAGAAATTACAAGGAAGGTGGAAAAACTGGGTCTGCCTGGGTGTCCATTCCCCCCGTCACACCACCAGCAGCTGTGCACAGTGTCACCCAGACAGACAGACATGCTACAGAGCGCCAGCTCGGAGGAGGGATGGCAGAAAGGGGCAGGACAGCTGCAGCTGCTGCTGGGCTGGTGGAGGGGAAGCCAAGCACGCTCTCACCCACGAGCACAGCTGCCCCCCGAGCGAAGCAGGAGAGCACAGGCCAGCACGTTCAGCTGCACACACAAGCGTCCCTGTTTGCTGCAAGTCAGGTGAAGCTGCATCCCTCAACCTGAAGCACAGGAGAGGCCCCCAGCCTTCTCTCCACGTCCTGAAGAAACCAGCAAGCACAGACACACATAGCCAGCGCCGTGAAGCAGCCAGGCCAGGATCTGGAGGAAGGAGGCTGTGATGCCATTTGTTTTCTTTGTAACGCCGTGCCTGGAGGACAATCGCGCTTGGCTTGCCAAAACCCACAGAGCTTGGGGCCGGTCAGGTGCTGAGAGCAGAGGTAGGACAACACTCTGGCATTGTCCTGGCTGACAGGCAAGAAACAAAGGCCTTTTCTCTCCGGCCCCGAGCTCGAGGATGAAAAAGGTACGGGAAGAAACAATGGTGTTCTCAGCGCGCACAGCAGAGCACAAGAAGGGCGTTCTGTTCTCCACCGGGCATTCCTTCAATTCATCATTTATGAGCTTTGATCAAACCCTGTGGAGCACTTGCTGCTTGGGGGGAAAAAAAAAAATAAAAATTTAAAAATGTAAAAGCCTCCTTTACAGCAATCAGAAAAACAAAAGCAGTTAAAAAAGACATGGGACACATCTGCTTTCTTTATCGTCACTGCTGGGCTGCTGGTACTAAAAGGCACTTCACACAAACAACAATGAAATGTTTATATTCTCCATTGGGGGAGGGGGAATTAAATCAGAGTTTAAAGCCCACCCTCAACACACTTATTGTTCTGGGTTTTCTGACTAAGTTTGCAGCTTACAAATCAAAATAACCTTCAGAATACACGGCAGGAAGGGGCTGTACCTTACTCAAAGGAAAAGGTGTATTCCAGCATGTCACTGCATCCAGAGCAAGCGTGGTGCCCCTGCCACCAACACAGGTATCTGAGCCACTCACACCTACAGGTACGTGATTGTGTCCGATTGTTATCTGTTACAGCACCTCCTTCCATACACTTCTCTTTTTGCCTAGATTTTGCTGTACAGGAAGGGACCAGTCTCACAAAACACTTCTATCAATAAGTCTGTTAATTTGGAAGTTTCACATAGATACATATTTGACCTCTGAACACAAGGAAAATAACCTAGAGCACAGATACATGAGGGGAACTGAGGAAGTATCAAGTCTGGAGCTGAAAGAGCCTGAAATATTTTGAGTGATGTATAAAAAGCCTGGGACTGCAATACAGGAGGTGCAGGGAAATGCTTTCTTTATGTGTTTGCTTCAGCACTGACCTGTAGTTGCACGCGAGGAGTTAAGCTAGCAAAAGTACTAAGCTGAAGTACTGTTAAATAAGGGCAACAGAAATCTGAGAGCCAAGATTTCCACCCTTTTTTTGAAGGTTCATAATAGATCTCCCTGCTAGGAGCACAGCTGGGTCCCACGCAACAGCAGGCAGTGCCTGCTGAGGAGCTTGTGTCTCTGGTCACACATGTCCCTGTCACGGTAAGCAGGCACGAGGTACTTGAGGTAGCTGCCTGACCCCATTCTCAGGTTAACAAATCATGAACCAGCTTTATGTGCTCCACAAGAATAAAACTCTTCATCTTTTTACATCACTGCTGCAAGAATGCTGTTTTAAAGAGGAAACCTGGACCTGACCCAATGGTTTCAACTCGCCCTGCTAATGCACGTTGTGCTGAATAGCTTCATCACGAGCTCTTTGCTGAGGGAGGCAGTTATCTACAAAAAACATAACATTTTGGTAACTGAGATCCATCAAACATGCCCAGAATAACCAAATACAGTGTCGCATTCTTTACTCACTGGATGTTTTGCTTTTGCATCCCTCTGAGTAGAAAGATCAGGAAAATAAACCCCCTCCAAGAAAGTCTGCCTCACTGAATTAAATGTCTGTGTCTCCACGGGGAGCACAGTAATTGCGCTGAGACCTCGCTCATGCAGAGACAGCCAAATCAACAGGAAGGAAAAATTAAAAATTAAAGACTTGTATTTTAATTAAGCCCCATAGAAGTCAAGAATAATAACAGCTGCATTCACAGCTATAGGGGACTCCAAGTGCAAGACAGGAGCTGGGGCAGGAAGACTTTAGCTCACTACACAGATACCCTTTGTCCAGGTTATAAGTTGTGAAGACATTGTTCTTAGAGAAAATATTCATGTCAGGAGTGCTCTCCTCTGAGGTCTGTAAACCTCAATCAGTCAGTGGCTGTAAGGAATCAGTTTCCATTTGGTCACTGGACAGTTTCACCTCACCCAAGTTATTTCATCGTTTTGTGACAGCAAGCAGCCTCCACCCCAACGCTTTCAACCTCAACTTAGAGCGTTTTGCTCCGAGCTGACACTTCACACCCAAGTCAGTCCCAAAATAATTTGCGAGCCACTTGAAGTGGAGGGAGACACTCATCTACACACCTGCTTGCCCAGGCAAACAGAGTCACTCTGCACATAGCTACGGGGGCACCTACGCAGGAGAGGCCGGAGTGAGGAGCCCTGCACAGAATTTCTCAGAGACAGCTGCTCAAGTAAGGTATGAACACACGCAGCACACCAACAACCAACTGTGCAAGCAGCTTCTTACGCCTGCTCTGCACATGCCCAGGAAGGAAAGAACACATGGATGTACTCGGTGCTGCATTCACATGCTAAAGGCAGAGCTCTGTACTGGGGAGAAAGGAGAGCTGTACCCTAATGTCACTGAAGCTTCAGCACGGCCTCCAGGCAAGGGCAGCCTGGAGGAAGAAGCTGCAGGAACAGTGCTGCTTCGCTTCCCAAAGCTTATGAGTCAATTCCCTCAAAATGATCTGATCTCAGTCCCATTCTCAAGTAGGCTCCAAGGCAAGAAGAAATTAAATGAGGAGACAGGGTCAAGCATCCCAATTTCTGTTATGCCAGAAACATAACCCAAGTAACTTGCAAAGAAACCTAATAGCCCTATATCCATCTCTGCTGACTTCTCCTTCATTCATGCTCACCACCAAGCTCAGCGGCAACCTTCAGCTAGCTGTTCTGGCTACAGATCCATTCAAGTAAGCTTTAAGAAGCCCGGAAACAATTGCAGAGCAAGTATTTTCATTGTTATTGTTCTCAAAGATCTTGAAATCCTCTTCCCAGCATTAATACAGAAAATTAAGCTCTTAAGATTCTAGAGACTAAGATACATAGAAATGCTGTAGCAAGTAGGTCTTGTTCAGACAGGTAAGAGGATGGCAGCTTACTTTATGCAACAGGCTCATCCCAGGACCTCACAAGGACACATTGCACAGCCAGACACTATCCTTTTACAGCTGAAATACTGTTCTGCTCACTTCAAATACATTACAACTTTATCTGCTCCAAACTGAGCATGCAAAACAGGTGGGGGTGTAAAAATTTTGCAGACCTGCATAATTTTTAAAAGATCTCAGCATTCTGCATGGGTACATTTGCTATTTGAGGAGCAACATGCAGTTAATACAACCAAGGATTAAAGTTCACCTGAGCTTAGGTACTCCAATCCAACATGAGAGTTGGAAAACGCTGATAGATATCTTCTTTCAGTGGGACACAGCATTGCTAGCTGGCTTTAGGGGACTCACCCAAGGCAGAACAGGATCAGGATCCCTGCAAGGCAAATGACTCTGACTCATAAAACAGAGTTTATGTATTCCATTGGCACTTCTCACTTTGCAGCACTTCAGTAGTCTGGAAAGGAAAAGGCACTATTGAGGTGCAGCGATGCTGGTGAAACCCACAGGGGTTAAAGCTAAATCTCCACAGCTCCACATACTCTTCAGGTGGCCAAGCAAAACTTCTCATGCAAACTTGCAGTTGCCACATTCTGACTGCCTGGGTGAGCCCTAATGTATTCAGAGTCACATCAACAGGACATCAGCCTGTCTGTCACCAACTGCTCGCCCCTAGATACGTGTTCTGAACTGTGCTACTCAGAAGAGCAGTTTTCTCTCCCTTTCAGAAGTCATTTCAGCAAGGGCTGAAGCTGCTCCCTTCACAGATCTACTGACCTCCACAGAGATCTCAGTTCTTGCACACGCTGCTACACATTTGGCTTCTCACTCTTCATTTTGATGGTTTCAAAGCCTGTTATAGGGTAACTTGGAGGGAAAAAAACACAAAGCAGGGATTAGGTCCATTTCTCAGACAGGCAACAGAGTGCAAAGGAGTTAGACAAACTCACCTACATGTTCACACCACGCTGACTACAGAGGCAAGCACAGGCACACGTCTAGTTAAACACACCCCTCCTGGTTTGCCTCTTCTAGACACAGCACCCAGCACACCAGGACTGCACGGCATCCTGACACCAAAGTGAGCATCAATGGAAGAGCCTGTGGTACTGGTGGATTAGGTTTGATCAACGTTTTTAAAGTCTTGAGGCAACAGGAAGATGTTTTATTAGCTTTAAAGACT